CTGGGCAAGGTCCTCCAGCAGCTCCCCCAGTACTCTTGGATGGATCTCATCAGGCGCCATAGACTTGTAGGTGTCTGGGTGGCTTAGGAGGTCATTAACTGATTCCTCCTGGACTGTGGGGAGTTTATTGTGCTCTCCATCCCCATCTTCCAGCTCAGGGGGCTGAATACCCTGCGGATACCTTGACTGGCTATTAAAGACTGAGGCAAAGAAGGCATTAAGTACCTCAGCCTTTTCTTCATCCTTGGAGGCAATATTCCCCCACACATCCAATAAGGGATGGGGATTCTCCTTGCCTCTCTTTTTGCTGTTCATATATTTGTAAAAACATTTTTTGTTGCCCCTTACGACCATGGCCAGACTGAGTGCTAGCTGGGCTTTTGCCCTTCTAATTTTCTCTCTGCATGACCTAACGAAATCCTTGTACTCTTCTTGAGTTGGCTGCCCCTTCTTCCCAAGGTGATAAACTCCCCGTTTTTTTCTGGAGTCCCAGCAAAATCTCCCTGTTCAGCCAGGCTGGTCATCTTCCCCACCAGCTCATCTTATGGCACATGGGAACTGTCTGCTCCTGTGCCTCTCAGATTTCCTTCTTGAAAAATGTCCAGCCTTCCTGGACCCTTTTGCCCTTCAGGACTGTCTCCCAAGGGACTCTCTCAACCAGTGACCTGAACAGGCTGAAGTCTGCCCTCTGGAATTTCATAGTAGTGGTTTTGCTGACCCTCCTCCTTCACTAAGAATTGAGAACTCTATCATTTTGTGGTCACTAAGCCCAAGATGGCCTCTGACCATGACATCTCCCACCAGCCCTTCTCTGTTCGTAAACAGCAGGTCAAGCACGGCACCTCCCCTGGTAGGCTCACTCACCAGCTGTGTCAGGAAGTTATCTTCCACACACGCCACGAACCTCCTAGACTGTTTCCTCTCTGCTGTGTTATACTTCCAGCAGATGTCTCGTAAGTCGAAGTCCCCTACAGGAACAAGGTCTAGCGATTGTGAGACTTCTGCCAGTCGCTTGTAGGATGTCTCATCTGCCTCTTTGTCCTGGTTGGGTGGTCTATAACAGACTCCCAGCAGGATATCTGCCGCCTTTGCTTTCCCCCTCATCCTTACTCATAAGTACTCAACTTTGTCATCACAATCATTGAGTTCTATACACTCAAAATATTCCCTAATGAGGGAATTGAGCCACCCCACCACCTCTCCTTCCTTGCCTATCCCTTCTGAAGAGATTATAGCCATCCATTGCAGCACTCCAGTCATGAGTCATCCCACCATGTTTCTGTGATGGCAATTAAGTCATAGCTGTGCCGCTGCACAATGACTTCCAGATCCTCCTGTTTGCTCCCCATGCTGCATGTATTGGTGTAGATGTACTTGAGCTGGGCTATCGATTTTGCCCCCAACATCAGCATGCCACCCCTAGGCTCAACTCTATTGAGCCTGGTTTTATCTCCTTCCCCCTTCGAATCTAGTTTAAAGCTCTCTTGGTGAGGCCCGCCAACTCATAAGCAAGAATTCTTTTTCCCCTTGGAGATAGTTGAACTTGATCTGCTGCCAGCAGGTCCGGTGCCTCTCCTACACTGACTCTCCAGTAGGTCTAGTCTTCATAAGTGAGGAGACTGAAAAGTGTGTCCTCTACAGAGTTCAGCAAAGCACTATACACCGTTCCTTCTAACTTCTCCAATAAATGCACTCTGTTTAAAAAACACAAATCAAACTTCCTTTACTACACAAATTAGCTTGAAAAATAAAAACATATTTTTTTTAGACTGCTTCTAGAACTTAAAACTGAAAACCCTAAAAAATTAATAGGTTCATGAGTGTAAAAATAATTATCTATTCTATGAAAGTATACTCTCTACACATACCCTTCCAGTGACAGCTTATAGCTGGACAAATATTTATTTTACCTGTTTAGATAACTGCTCTTCACAGAGTTTGTAGAGTGTATAGAATTTTCGGCTAAGGACTTGGTTGTCTCGGAAACCAGCACTTGCCAGCTTGACTCGCATAATAATGCTACGGTCAGGCACCATCATAGCAACTGTGCGAAACTGAATCTTCAGATTTTCTGGAAGCTCCTGTCGTCCCGCATAGCCAGGGTTCTGAAAGCGGCAAAATATAAAATGAAATATTATTAAATGACAGCAGGATAGGAAGATTTCTCTTTTCTGATAATTATTTGGCAAACACAGGAGACCATGCCAGATTACAAAGGATAACTCGAGCATGTCACAATTACATATCACTACTCTGTTGCCTAAACACTGCAGTTCATTAAGTATGGGGTATCACACAAAGTATTTGAAGATGCCCAAGACACACAGACATAGTGAGACAACCACTTACAGATCTTGTTGAAGCTATTTCAAATGGTTAGTTTCTCAGGGTCTTGATAGCGTTCCAGTGCTGGAGGTTACTGTCCCTTGTGAGCACTCACAGACCATTTCAGTGCCAAGTCAGTCAAGCAGTGCAAGCCATTACTGAATATAATTCAAACTAACAGATCTGACCTTTCACTGAAGATGTCTAAGTCGTTCACGTGACTACCGCATGGCTTAGTTGTGAGAACAGTAGTTGCTAGCTATGCAGTGATAACCTCTTAAACTCTCCCAGCTGTTTCCAAACTGCCCTCCCACTGGCCTTTGTATGCCACTAATTTGACCTCTTTTTCAAATTAAAGTGGTAACATTAATAGCTTTTCGAAGGTGAGAAACAAAATAAAGATAAATGCTTCCATTTTGAGTTGTGGGCATGTAGCCTACAGCTAAGGAGCGGGAGTTACAAAGAGGCTTTTAAAGTATTCTTATGCTTTCCTGCTTCTTTGTCTCCTGCACTGCTAGAAGCAGTCCACAAGCACCAGAGATAAATCTTCAGGAGACCAGTGAACCAGAGTGAGGGTGCTTTCCTTCATGCTGTCATATAGAAGGATTGTGGTTAAATGTTCTTCACAGGTGGTGAAATACTGACCAGACCAGCTACAGTAGTGCTTGCAATGGTCAATTATTTCTGTTTTATTTTGATAGACTTTGACTAAAAATATGAGAGGGTTTGGTTTAGTCTCAATCTGTCAAGTATTCAACTTAAAAAAAAACCTTAAAATATGTAGTTAATGATAATTGCATACCTCAACTTCTAAGTTCAAGTTAAAAATACAGGCAAGAGAAAGTATCATCATTATTATTTGACCAAATTATTGTTCAAATTGTGTTCACTGTTTTCTAACAGACAGTTCCAATGGTTTCAGCAGGGAAATTTTAATGGGAAATGAAATAGGAAAGATTTTTCACTATGATGCTATTTACATATATTCACACACATACCATAGTAAGAAATATACCAAATTCTCTGTCCATGTCAACAACATCACCATCAGTGAAAATGAACTGAGGTTTCTTATTTTTCTTACACTGAAGTACGATATATATCTGCTGAGCAGCTACTGATAAAACTGGAAGTTCAATGCGGTTAAATTCATCAAAGCAACCCCATGCACCTGACTGGGCTAAACCTAAAAAAGAAAAAAGAAAAATATTTTGTTAAAGTATCAGATCAAACAAGAATAATTTATATATAAAATACAGCATGTTCTGTACAACTTAATGTAACATGAGAAGAAAAGAGATTATGAACACAGAGTAAAATGAGAAGTAAAAATTCAGAATAAATTGGGCTGTGCATTAATTATACCCAGAAAAAGAACTGCCCTCAGAAGAAAGATATACAAAATTCTTTACAAAGAATCCTGTGTTTTTACAGCAACCATGAGGCAGAGAGTGTTCCATAATACTGTATATAGCACCTAGAAGCATAAACATGCATTTAACATGGAAACTCATCTATGCAGTGGGTGAAATTGCTAAAGACGAGCTTGAGACACCTACCTAAGTGAAAAGCACAGAATCAAACTCAGAAATCACTCTATTTGTGACAGAAACATTGTAGCATTTTATAACAATTAATTCATAGGTCAAAAATTGTTGGAGAATAGCATCCTGCTGTTCAAGAGAGAGGAATCTGATGTCCCACTTACAACTGTTATTTGGAACAGGCCATGAAGTTCTAGATAAACATTAGTATCCATAAACATCATGAAATGAATGTCTTTTGGGAGAGTCAAGTACTCCTCCTTCTGTATCATGTTAGCAGGATTGAAACAGAGAGCCTACAGTGTCAGCTTTCCAGAGCGGTAGTGGGAAAGCTACAAAATCCCCTGCTATTCCACATCCATTTCACAAGAGACAAAGGCTAGTAAGTCTACACAGGAACTTCATGGATACGATATCCTCCCCAAAGCCCACACTGGACTAGTATTTCCTATTGCCTGGGTCCAGCAAGGACCTGGATCAGTACTTTGTCTGATGTTACAAACAGATGTTCAGAGGTGTTTAATTCACTCCACTGGACTGGTGGAGCTCAGTTTGGCTTAAGATGTTTAAAGGCAGTGCTAAATGCAGAAATAAAGCACATGTCCAAGAAAAGGCATTTGTGTGTTTGCAATGTTGAACTATGCCCAGAGCTCCTCCGAGTTCCCATACAGCAATGCCTACAGCACTGGTAAAATAAATCAAGGGGTGGTTTATGTGTAATGCTAATTCCTTAAGATACTTAAGCTAATAGAAGAGAAAGTACTCAAAAATCAATAATAATACTATTAATACATACTTTTTCACTTTGTTTTGTTTTCTCTTTCATGTTTTCTCTTCTCTTGTCTTTGCTCTGTCCTGTTCTGCTCCTATTACCTTTCTTCCCTCTACTATTCCTTGTTCAATCTTCTCTTGTTCTTCAAGATGTTCCTCTAGAAACTCTCATCTTACTCCAAATCCCCCTGAGTCCCCTTTCATGTTTCTTCTCTGCCCCTCTTCTACTCTGTCCCATCTTCTACTGTGATCAGCTATCATAGCAAATCAATACTTGTCAGTTTTTGCAGATAGCAAAAAAAGAAAAAAAAAGAAAATAATTCTCACATTAATTTTTTACCTTTTTTCATGCCTATTAACCACTTCTTTTAATATAGTTGCATTGATTGGTCTGTTTCACCGATGTAATTTTAGAAGAACTCTTCAACAAAATTAGTGGAGTCACACCAGATCAGAACCAGTGGTAGTACAGCCAAAATTGGCTCTTTAAGATTTGATTCAGCCAGGGCAATACTGCAGATCTCCCATGACATTCAGTTCAATTCGAGATGTAATCTTTTTCCTAAACTGCTTTTGACTAATTTCTGTGATATTAAAAGGAAAAACATGCTCCAAAAGAAAATAATTTGAAGAGAATAAAAAGTCACATGGATTTAATTACAAAATTGAAAAGCAAGCTGGATAGGGTCCAGAGGAGGGCCACAAAAATGATCAGACGGATGGAACACATCTCCTATTAGGACAGGCTGAGAGAGTTGGAGAAGCCTGGAGAAGAGAAGGCTCCAGGAAGACCTTATTGCAGCCTTCCAGTACTTAAAGGGGGCTGCTAAGAAAGATGAGGACAAATTTTTTAGCAGGGCCTGTAACAATAGGACAATGGGTAATGGTTTTAAACTAGAAGAGAGCAGATTTCGACTAGATATAAGGAATAAATTTTTCACAATGAGAGTGGTGAAATGCTGGCACAGGATTCCCAGAGAGGTGGTGTATGCCCCATCCCTGGAAACGTTCAAGGTCAGGTTGCACAGGGTTCTGAGCACTGTGGTCTAGTTGAAGATGTCCCTGCTCATTGCAGGGGTGGGGTTGGACTAGATGACCTTTAAAGGTCCCTTTCAACCCAAAGATTCTATGATTCTGTGATATACAAATACCACAATGCCATCATGAAGCAAAGATTAAAGTAATTCTATGGACAGGTACCAAATTTAAAACATGAAAGACCTAATTCTACTGTGTGTAAAAACAAATGAAGAATGCTCCTTGACTTCACTTGTGTGGCAGCAAGTCCTTTAACTGATGTTCTTCCTCTTTTATGAGAAATATCAGGGCCCCGGATGTACCAGGAGGCCTTAATTGCCCTGACCAGCTTTACCTGCGGCTTCTACCAATACTCTGTCCTCCAGTCCAGGAGTTCCATTTCAGCTCAGGCAGGTCTGAGTCTTCAGCCTTTGCCTGAGCTATGTTGTATGTAGGGCTGGGCACAGTTATCCTGACTTGCTGGCTGAACTTCCTGGAGGACCCCAGAACTATCCATAGCCTTACCTCCAGCCCTGCCTCCTGCTGTTTCTGACCAAACTTCCTCGATGGACCCTGGACACAGCTTGTTACTTCACCTTGTCTGAGGGTCCCTGGACAGCTGATGGAACAAGCTGTCACCAACCTGCCCTGCTCAGACACTGTGGGACTGTGCCCTGATCAGTGAAGTCCCTGCCCCTGACTGTGTGGTAGTCACCCTTGGCTCCTAGCTTGTCTTCCCTCATGGAGCTGCCCCACTCTTTCTGACCTCCAATGAAAAATTTTTGCAGAGATTTTTCAAATACACTTGGCCTCTTTTGTTACATGACTACTAGGATCTATTAAAAAATATATTTTTCTACTTTGTTTATTAAACATCAATATCTACTTTTCGGGATGCAACAACAAAAAGCCCTAAAGCTGGACATTCTTTAAGAAAGAGACTTTGTTCCAATATTGTCTCTTACACTTACTATCCCTAGATTAAAGATTTTTTAAATTAATTTCTCTGCAGAATGCCGAGGTGAGGTTCTAGCCAAACAATTTTTCGTTTCCAAGAACAAGAATCACTTGTTCTGTAATGCCACCTGCTGCATGGAGTTAGGAACCTGACTCTCAGGCAAGGCCAATATCCCACAGCTTTCAATAAATTCAGTTCTTGTAAAATTATTCCATTCTGGTGATGTTTAAAAAGACAAAGGAAAGAAAATACACACACATGCATACACCCACACACACAAGCAAAGGCACAGCAAGCAAACTATCTGCATAACAGCTTAGAGACAACATAATTTTGTTGTGCCCTGTCATGCTGTACATTAATTGCTGTCCCCACACAGAACATAGTATGGTAATCAAATACAGAAATGGAGTAAAAGCAGAAAATAAAGGACAAGACTAAAGAAATATTTAACTATGTCTAAGAAATGTGACACACACGTGCCCAAATCAGTACAGATATCCTACAAACCTGGTCCTCACATGATATCATTATCACACGGCATAGCTTACTTCAAAATGCATCTCTGCAATGCAGTGCCATGTCCCTTTCCGTGTCAGTGACTGTATGGCCTAGGTGCAGCTGGCTGGCCTGACTCCTGAATCTACACTGTGGCCACAGTCCCCAGTGCAGGTCCTAGAGACCCACTCACGAAGAAAGTAAGTTGCAGCCTACTGTGACGATCCCTGTCCTGCCCAGTGATCCAAAGGCCCTATGAGCTGCTCCGCACTGGGAGGTCTGGCTAACAATAATGTGACAGTGCAGTAATTAATCATGACAAAGCAACTATAAACTCTCTTTTGTACTGAAACAACACATCTCAAGATTTTACAAAGGGGTACAATAATAGTGGCATAATTTAAAGCACATCTCACTAAAACTGAACTCTGTCTAGCCAAAGTGCAGCCCAGAAGCAGTAAGCTACAAGGTACTCACTGGTCCTGAAAGAATTTATGGACCTCCATACTCATTTATTCACCTTCTGAATTAAGACAAATACCAAATCTTGCTTTAAATATTGCATTAAATATCAGATCACAAAAAGGTACGTCAGGTAAGGCTGGAGTTGTTTGACTGTAACTATAGAAAACAAAACCAAAGCAAACATGACTTTTATACTCATCTACAGACAACAACAGACAAAAGGTTTCCTAAAGGGTATTCACCAACACTTTTCAGTAACAGTGATGAAGCAGTGCTGATTTGCTGTTCCTGTGTGATTTTAACACTGAATTCAATATAATAGAAAACTTGAAATTTCACCTTCTCACTTTGCTTCCCTGGTACTTTCATGGGTTACCTCTGGTCCAACTCATATGACCAGTTATATCTGAAGCTACTTTTTGGTTCAAATTTGAAAAACAAAGCCATCAAAGGTGAAAGTTCAGGCCTTGGATATCTTGACTAGGTTATCTGTGTGTGAACAGCCGGTGTCACACATGAAAACAAAATAGACAGGAAGACAGAGAAGCAGGGAGACAGACCTCAGCTCTGAGCCAACCAGGAGATATATAATTAACTTTAAATTATAATTTTATAGTATACAATATATTGTTATGTTATATTTTTCTATTTCTTTATTCTGAAGATCAAACTTATTGTCCTTACAGAAAAACATGGAAACATGGCTGCAGACATGACAACACCACCTCCCCACCTCCTTTTCCTCCTTACTGCTAAATCTGCTAATATCTGATAACTTGACTCACAGCACCAGATGAAGTGAAAAGTTTGAAGAGGAAACACTGGTGATGGAGTACAACGCCCATCGCAGACATGTGGAATTCTGAAGAACTTCTCAATGGGTGCACTAAAATACATAGTATGTTTCATGAGAACTTTCTTATCAGTCTGCATGAAAGCGCTTCTATGGCTGTGAAGAACTATCCTTCTTTTCCATTAAAGATCTCATATGCATTAAAGAATCTTTCTCCAAACTCACTTTGCTCCTCCTATTAAATCAAAAAAGAACTCATTTCCTTCCGCAACTTCAGTATATCCACTCTTCAAGAAATACCAGATATCTTAAAGACGTTTCAACATAAAACAAAGTGAAATCACCAAGAAGTTGTGAAAAAAGGTGGTAACATAAAGAGATACAAACATTCTCACAGAAGGAGCAGAGAGGAAAAAAACAACAGCTTGGTGAAATCAAAGACAAATCCACTCCAAGGATAAACAAAGGCTGCCATCCCCACTCCTGACTGATGACTGCAGGTACATCAAAGACCCAGTAGATGACTGTATTTGGCATTATGAGCATATTCATGCTTAGTCAGACAGCAAGCTGGTCCCAGCCCTCTTCTGTTTATTACCAATGAGTAAAATAAACTTGGGAAGCTAAAAGTCTGCACACACAATAAAAGACACACAACTAAAAGTTGTCGCAAAGATCTGGGGGTTACAAAAGGTGCTTTGAGAAACTTGTGACCTTGACTGAAGATATTCACCCACACAGCTAGTTCAGTTTCTAGCTTAGAAAAGTTCCTCTGTTTATTTGGTATTACATAAATGAACAGCTTTCCATAGCTCCTGTTCACTAGGTAACTGTCTTCTCTCTTGATCTGTAATGATCTGGCCTTGGTTATAAGCAAAATATTTACCTCAGGTAAGGAATAGAATAACGCAATATATTCAGTACAGAAGTCATCAGTTTCTGTGAAAGTTTAACCCACATCCCAGTGTGATTTAATTGGATACTATAAAACCTGTTTTCTGCTCTTACTGCTCATAGGAGCATCGAGCCAGTTTCAGCCTTCTCCAAGGCAGTGAATGCTTGCATTCACCTAAAAAGACCAAAGCTAAAGCCAAAGCTAGAAGACTAGCTAAAAGACTGCCTAATGCTTTAAATGAAGACTATGATGGAACTTTCCATTCTTGTAGTACTATCAGAACTTCTAGCTAGAAGAGTGGGCTCTTCATGGGACCAGTTCAGGACTGGGGATTAAAGTCTCACAAGACCTAAGGATGGTCACTAGCTCTACCATTCACTGCTTCCATATTTGCTGCACTACCTCAGATTCCTGGTATGGAAATGATAGGGCTGCTCTAGGAGGAACTACTTCATGCTCTCTTTTTCTCCAGTTATCCTACTTTCTCCAGGCTGGCCCCTTACTGCAGCTCCAACTAGGGAAATCCTCAGGGGAAGAGAAGGTAACAGGCTTGAGCATGCCTCAGAGAGAGAGAGAGAGAGAGAGACCAAGAGAGACCAGTGCCTTTTCAAAGCTCATTGTACCTCTTATGTCATGGGACAAGGCTCAGAGGAATAAAGGATGAAGGCTGGCTGAAGCAAACAAAGCAAGAATGGAAATGTTTCTCTCTGATCTATTTTCACATTCTTAAAACTGGAGCTAATGTGTTTGATTAGTGAGGAGGAGGGCATTCTGCAGAATGCACAGACAGCTACAAAACTTCTGAGCCATGATTAGTCAAACTAGCTAAACCTTTTTTTTTCCTTCGTTCTCTGCTCTACTTTTTCCCATTTTCTTCTTTTTGATATGACCTTTAAAAAAAATTAACAAGTTAATGAGGCCTAAAAATGTCTATAAAAAAACAAAAGGATTAGGAGGAATAACAGCAGTCCAGTGAAGTCAACACAAGCACTGCTTTTAACTCAGCTCTTCCCAAATATATACTATTCGTCTTCTTGATGTAACCCGGCCAGAGACAAACCCAGTAACCACAGAGGAAATAAGAGAGAAAGATGGAAAATCTTTTCAAAATTAAATACAAAATCATTTTAATCCAAGCCTGGAATAATTTTCAGGCTTTCTATCTTCATTAGAAAAGCTTAATTGGATACCCTTAAGCTCTTAAAATAAGAAGCCAAAGACAAAAGTTACTTCTATTAAAATCTTGGCCAGCTTTGCTGGCTTCTTAACTAAAACTAGAAATGATCTCCAGGTTGTATTTTAACTTTCAGGAGATATCACAACACTGAAAATTATGTTTATGATACCTTGTGTTAGATTTAAGAGCCCACCCCTCACAAAAAATGGTGGTGTTATGTGGTCTAACAGTCCATATAACCAATAGAATTATAGAATCATTAAGGTTGGAAAGGACCTCTAAGATCATCAGGTCCAACAGTACTATTGTATATATACAATATATAGTTTCTATATACAAGAAAACTGACATCAATGGAGTCCACAGACCAGACATTGGATCATCTGATCACTGTTTGCAAAACTGATTTCAAAGCTCTGCTTATTAAGAAAAGTTATCAGAGTTTGACCACTACCTCATTTTCCTGGTTTCAAAAAAGTTCTAGAGTTTGAAATAAGACAGTGCACCACTTTGCCTGTTTCCCTGCCTTGTACAACATCACTGAGCTCCATATTTGTTTGTCTTACTTGATACAAAAATGGCAAGGGAGGATGAAATAGTCTCCCTCTTAGGACGAGTGGGATAGAGGCATAAAGAAAATCAGTAGAAAGGACAAAAAGGGAAAAGGGAAAGTGGACAGAGATAGGAAACACCTTCCAAGAATATAAAAAAAAAGACGGAAAAGCATGCAGGTAGACAAAAGAAAAAAACCCAAAAATAATCAAACATCAGGAAAAGTTGATGTGCATCTAGAAATAAGAGAAAACAGAAAAGAAAATACCCTACTAATCATTGGTAGCTCACCAGTGAAGAGACAAAAACTTAGGACTCTAAAATGAATGACCTGATTATTTCTTACCTTTATAGATACGTCCCAGTCCTCTGTAGTCCATTTGGTCTGAACAATTGAAAACAACAACATACTTCCCCAGGCATTTGCCCATGTCTTTAGTTGTCTCTGTTTTCCCTGTCCCTGCAGGTCCTGCTGGTGCACCACCCATACTCATGCCCAGCGCCTGTGCCAGAGTGATGTAACACCTAGAGACAGAACAGAGAGATCTAGTAGTCTTTTTCTACTATTAGTTACTTGAAATCCATTAATGTAACCACAGCAGTTGTATTATACAAAGCTGGGGAAGGGGGCAGAAATAGGTGTGCTTCCCTGTGGTAAGTCCTCAGTCACCCCTTTTGCACACTGTGAAGCTAAGTTCCCAGGTACCACCTTCGCTCCACCTATAGAAAAGCATGCATCCAGCACAGCAATGGCTGCAACAGCCCAGGAAACACACAGGCCAATTCTAAATGCTGAATACCAAAATACTGTAGTATTGTGATTTTCTCACACAAATCATATGCCCTCCCTCCATGACTCAGCCTCATTCTGAGGCACCCAGATCTGCTAGGTTTCTGCCTTTTCTCCCCATCTTCCTACTCACTCCCCAGAGCACACAAGATGGGATCTCTGATCTGGCAATAGGAAGGCACAGAGGCTGGAAGCAGCTCTTGTTCTTGCCATTTCCTGACCAGTGTGGCAAACCAGAGAAGTGCTGCCAGTCACATGAAGTCTCTGAGTTCCAGGAGGAGAATGGACAAGAGGGAAGATTGTGATGGGCAATAGAGAAAGAAGAGGAGGACCATCTTCTGCTTCAGCCTCCATCCTGAGTTGATACCCTCAGGTTTAAATGTCAGCCTCCATAGATGGTGTGGAGACCAGTGAAGGGTGTAGGAAGACTTTTGTTCTAATCTATAATTCTACAAAATCCCAGTAAGTCCATTTTAACACTGTGAAACTCAATAGCTTTATGATATACCTGGGGAGAGAAAATGAGCATTGAAAAAAACCAAATTATACCAGCTAGTATCACTTCCTATAAAATAATACAGTACTGATTCTAATATTATAGCAGTAATAATGCTTATCACCTTACTACTCTGTAATCAGTTAACATAGAAAAAATACCACTCCTAACAATTCTGCTACAGAAAATGAGGTAAGGACAAACTGTATACATAGTACAAGTCCTAAACAGAACTTGCATTTCATTTTTTGCATAAGCCATGTCTGTGTCTGACACGATGCTTAGGAGCACTCAATTTCAGTCCCATTATCTTAATGTAATGTACTACTGCCACTGTGTATTTATCCTGTGCTTCAGGAATTTTTCTGAACATAAAATCATTAGCCAAACAGCACTTGACTCCAAGCTGATTAGTGGAAATCACAGATATCATTACCTGAAAATTATCAGAAGCTCATACAAGTCCATATAGCAATATTAAAAATATTAAAATGGAAAAAGCCTATAAGGGGAATAAAATCTGTTCTTATGCAACACTGCTTAGGTACATAAGTTTCCCATGCCAACACTAGAAAATATTTCTGCTTGAAACACCCTTTCAATACATGACAGTGGATAGTCACCAATCCCTGCAGGTCTATTTGGGTCTTCTAGGTTTGCCCAAAGGCAGATACCTCTGTTCTTTTTTGTGGTTATTATTTAAACTCATTCAAAAGACTTTCTTTAATAATATCACCATCCACTAGTTTTCAATCTCATGTGACATAGCACCTTGAACAAACCCTAACCAACTAGGCTGCATTTTAATTCTGTGAACAGATTTTGAATGACATTTTCTTGATACTGTCTTTGCCGATGGGCAAAAATATTGTCTGCATGGTAGCCCTACCACACCCACTAACCAACTGCATGTTTACTGCTGCAAACAGATCTCTACCTAGCACAGGAATAGTAGGGTACATAACATAGAATTTGGCAGATGTGTGTCACATATTAAAAGCCAGGAATCTAAGCATAGGGTTTTGGCTCTCTTAAATAGATCACTGGGCATAATTTTGGTTCAGAAATTGGCAAAAGTCTGAAATTTCACTAGTAAATAAAATCTAGTAGCACAGAGAGTGCAAAGACAATTCCAACACTAATTCAAGAACCTGCAGTCATTCTTTACACAACAAATAACTGAACACGCACAGTATTTTGACATTCCTATCCACACGTAAAAGAACAAGCTCTAGCGTAGCAAATACATCTGCCTCTTGCCTGGCTGAAGCACTACCAAGTACTTTAGGAAGTTACGCATGTAATGGAGTTTGTGCTGTGATGTATAGCTAATGCTCCAGCAATAAAAGGTCCTCCCTGTGTTTTGCCCTCAGAGCTTTTTCTGTGTTTGTAGTCCTGTAATTCTCCATAGGCCTTGCTTAAAACGGTATTGGCACTACTTATTCAATGCTATGTCCTGAGTTACTGCTTTTTCCTCTAGGGTTACCTCAAATGAATCACTTGGCATAATCCCAAACTCTCATGCAACTACTAGCTTACTGAAAGCAGCAATATATTGTTTTTAGATCCACTCTGGTTAGGCTGGTGAAGTGTATGGCGTTCAGCTATATTTATCCTGAGCACAAGTAAGTTTTTCAATGCCTACCACAGCAGATATAGCTCAAGCAAACACTCAAAGAGAATTCAAGACGCCTCCTAGGGGTGCCTGATTTCGGTAGCTGAGTATATAAGCACTGGCCTCTGCTGTTCACCATAGATATTGCAGCACTATAGGGCAAACAAAGAAAGAATTTGACTCATGAATGCTAAAGGAATTAAGTCAAGGGAATTAAGTCTTAGCTCCAGTACTGTGCACTGCATTCTTTTTATAACTACCTGTCAGTTAAAGGAGTTATAACAAGCCTGTCTGTACACCCTAAGTATTCATTGCAGTAGGTGAACTCTACATCAGTGATTTGGACAATGCATTTATCCACGTCTTCAAGAAAATAGAATCGAGACTGTTTTTGCCATTCAAAGTCAGATGGAGATTTAATATTCATACGGACCTATAATAGAAAAGAAAAATCATTAATACAGAAATTAAACAGTATAACAAATGCATCTTGAATCCCATGCAGAAAAATGTCTACTGTGCATAAATTCAAGAGCTACAATCTGTAGGAGTCAAGACATTCAGAATTATCTTTTCAAACCTGTCTATGACATGCTGTGTCATCAAATCAAACCACTCTGATTTTCCTGTGAGTTGTGTAGAATTGTATCTTGCAGAGATATTGAAGAACAGTGATGGAAAACTTCATAAAAAACTAAGTAACAATACTGGTTACACTGCATGATATCAGTGCCATTCCTCACAGCAATTCTAAATCATGGACAATGCTTGAATATATTGTATACATGCTTTCGTGTTTGTTTTAGTTGGGATGTATTTTTCAGTATGAACTTGCCACACACATAGATCTGTGGCAGATTACTAGATCTTGATTCATTATTTTTGACACTTGATCTCAAAACCACCGGCCTCTTACAGAATAGTCCTTGTCATCTGCCTTGCAGACATGGTTTAAGGTGAAGAGGAGGTTCTGGATTCTCAGCCACTTCCCTCTACTTTCTCTTAAGGGGAATAGAACATTTTGAGAGAAAAGGATAATATCACATGTACCAATTAAGAATCCTTTCCCCAGTTTTGGACTTGGCCCTGATTTTTTATGTCACGTGCAGACTCTTTAAATTTAACCAAGTTTCTGTGATTTAATTTTATTATAATATGACATTAAATTAATTGATAATTTAATTTCCAATGAGCAAAATAATTATGAAAATAAATTAAAAATTACAGGCTGAGGATAAAACCCCCTGCCTGTCTTAGAAGCTGGCAGTTTTCTTTCTAAACTTTCAGTATTTTTTAAATTATTTTCTATCTCTCTTTACACATGCACTTAATTTTCATGTTTCTAATATATATGCATAAACTAAACAATGCAGTAGTGAATTATTGACTTTTGCATGATGCAAGCTTTTTGAAATTTATTTTACTTCAATTTTTATAATTATAATCTCATGTATTCAATATACTTATCTAAAGGAAGTCTGATGCAACTCAATTATAAAAAAATTAAAATATCTGTTCTGGTTATTGTTGCTACCCTATCAAATATATGGAGCCTCACTGCTTTAAACTTTGGATAACTATTACGTTAAATCAACACATAGGCTGGGCTGGAAATCACAAGTGATACTAAAGGGACTTTTTAACTTTTATATTTCAGTTAAATAATGTATTAAATTTTCAATTTGAGAGAACAGTTTAATTTAAAGTCTTTCGCTCACAGTGAATTTGTGCATGATGTGTATCAACAACCATTTAAAAAACTGAAGTCTGAACCTATGAACATACCTGTATATAATTCACCCTTATCTCTGCATGACACCTGTATAAAATCAAACTAAATCTGATATGCTGTATCACAGCACTAATGTCAGAGCTACTCAAAGAGAATAGATTGTAAGATTTGTTTATAAATTTTTATATGTGCAAAAACTTCTATACAGAAAGTCCCTTAAAGGTTTTCAAAAACTTACCAAATCATCAAAGATATCCTTCTGGTGCACATGAATGGTGATTAAAGTTTCATATTTTGTGCGCTCCATTCTTGTCAGATTGTGTGTTGTCATGTCAATCAAATCATTTAAAAGTTCCAAAAACTTCTGACTTGTTGTGTGCATTACCTTTTCCACATAGCAAGAACAGCCATATTAATATAAACATGATTTGTTCTTCCATTGTTTAGAATAAAAATTAAAAAACATCTGCAAACATATGGGCCCATAACATCTGTGATCTGCTCTGTATTTACTAGGCTTGGAATCCTAAATTTGGATTTTCAGGTGCTGTCCATACATGCATTCTTAGCCCAGCAGAGTACAATAAGGTTATATCTAGGTGAACAGGTCACACCATAAGATTTTATTCAAGGACTGTTGCTCCTTCTACTATACATTATATCTTCAGTTGATTGCATCCCTGCACATTTTCAGAACCATCAGTCTCTGGTTTTGGGTATTGCACATCAGCGCAAGCAATATCGACTCTTAGGGGGAACAGGAACCTGGAGATCTATCATATCCTCTAACCACAGGAGGGGGAAAGTGTAGTGTAATTTTAGATGCCAATGCTAAAATAATAAATTTTTTTGTGGCACCAGATTCTGTTACAAAATTCTATAAAATACAATACTGTCTCAGGTAAACAGCATCAGCCTCTGTCAGTGATTTTCCTAGCATACAACAAATTATAAAGTGCTGGGCTTTCAGAAAGGGAAGGTCATATGCACTCCTGTTCCAAATGTGTGAGAGAACAACCACACTAGCTTTCTGTAAATATATGCAAAGCCTAAAATTCACCCTGTTTGCTCAGGACAAAAAAGCTAAAAACACTTCAAAACTAATGGAGAACTAAACCACCAGCCCATCCCCAAACACACACACACAGAGTTCATCCCAAGTAAATGGAAGTTGTTTTCTAGTTAATGCAAAATAATCTTTGCATCTAGTTAGTATATGAACTAGAGTGGATTAAAAGCAGGTCTGTGCCCTTTTTAAACTTTGTACAATGCAGAAAACATAGCACTAAGTGGTCTCCTCCATAGTCTGGAGTCTTTGTTTTCATTCACTATTGAAGTACACCATGGTACTGTTCCCCTGCATTTACTTTTATGGTGGGATGGTGTTCTTAGCCCAATCTCACTGTATATTCCTGATTAACGGTAATTTGCAACTCTTCAGTTCACATCCTTTCCTTCCTGCTTCATAGATTCAGTGTTAGTAATAACACCTTGGTGTTAACAGTATCTTCTCTACATGTTTGAGATTAAATCAGCACCTCCTCAAATGGCTTCTCTTCTTTCCCTTCCCTAAAAAAAGAGCTCATCAGCTAAAGAATCTAACATACTCTGTTACAGGAGAACAATGCCCATGAAGCACTGTTATTTCCCCAAATTTTGTGATGACCTCTTATTTCTTTCCAAATTTGATTTTGGGAAAGTAATAGGATAAGATTCCCTATATTCCCAAACTGAGAAATTGTCCCTTCCCAAGATGACTGTGCTGACAGAACAACAGAGAAAATCACAGGATTAGGAACAATTCTAAAGCACATGCTGGGGGATGGTGAGGAGGTGTGACCTCTTAACACATTTTTTATCATTCTGTTTTCCTGTTAGCTTATTTGTTATTCTGGTCGCTTAACTAGTATTTTGTGCTTTTTCCTACACGTTATTAATTTTTTGCAATATGCACTGTTCCAAACAATGCTTTTAATTAATCCCCAAAGATTCATTAAACACTACCTTTTTGTCTGTTTTGGTACTGTTCAGTGCATTCTCTGCATCTCTGGTCCAGATCACTTGTATTCCCAGAAGTCCTATTTGTGCAGGAAACATTGCCTGAAAGTCATACAGCTTAAATCCTGAATCGCTAATGGCCATTGATGCCTGTCTAATGATGGTATGGATCGTTTTCCTAATCCCATTCAGCAGCTGACCTAACCAGAATTCCACATTGCCCTGAAATAAACAAGAAAGTACTTTTAAAGAAATGGTTTATGAATAATTCACAAGGAGAAAAAGCCCTACGAGATTTTTTTCACAGTTCTTCATATTGCCATTTCCCTTTTTGTCATTCTCTAAACTTTAAAAGATTCCTCTCCTCCTTCTGGCTCCACTGCCCTTCTAGACATATGTGATGGATTTGGCACTTCACATCAGTAGTGCTGAAAAAACAGGTAAAGTAACTATTACAGAATGACACAAATGTCCTGTCCTTTCTGGCCTTTGCTCTTGCTGTTCACATTGGAAGGTTTTCACTCAGCTAGTCAAATAGCAGCATGATGCGATACTGTTGGTCTCTAAAACATAAATCTACTTTAAAGCAAGTCATGAAAAACTGCAATATATACTTCCATTACCTGAGCTAAAACTGGTTCAATAATATTGACCCGTTCTCCTTCTTGAGATTCAAACAACAAAATCTGGTCGTAGTTTTTTTCATGAAATCCCACTCGGTTAACATTGTCAAACAAACTTAATAAATGTGCCTACAATAGAATCAGAAAAAAAAGCTTCATAAAGTGATCTGATATGACATTCTTACTTTGCCTTTAAATCCTGTATTAGAAGATTCTATACATCTTTCCATAAGTGAAAGAAATTCTCTCAACTAAATAATGAAATCCTCCATGGTCCTCACCCACTAATATTGACCATAAGAACATTATTGCCTTATTACTTGTACCTGAATAGTGTGGGAATCAGATGCTTGACCAAGGATTTCCAGAAGAGCAGGGTCAGATACAAAAAAAAATCTTGGAAACATTAACCGTTTTTTTTCCAAATACCCAGTCAGTGATTTCTGACAGATTTCCAATTGTTCCAGCAAATGTGGTAATAGCTGTGCCAAAGTCTCATCTCCAACACAGCACTGTACGATGTTTGGCATTTCATGGGCTCTCTGCATAATTCTCTGCCATGATTTATCAATGTTCTGAAATCTTCTGGCTTCCTGGAGTACATGAAAAATGCATTAGCTCTTCCCCATGTTTGTCAAATTCTAAAAAATAAAGAATTCCATGAGACAAGGTAGCAGTTTAATATGTCCCTTGCTGTTCAAGTCTTCTTTGCAGGACTAATGTATGAATATGTATAGGCATGCTTATAATGATCAGTGCTTATAATGGTCAGAGTTCAAATTGCAAGAGAAAGAGTCCAATGGGACAGCTCTGGAAAAAGAAAAAAGTCTTTAACTTCCTGTTGGGCACCAAAATTGTCTGTATAAAAGGATTCCAACACACACCAGAAAACTCAGACAGCAGCCTTCTCAGAAATTACAGTCTTCCTAGCAGCAATGCACAATGTCATGTAATGGCTGCTCCACACAGCTCATGAGGAGTAAGTTGTTAGTGGTAATACCTGACAAACAAAAACAGTATAAATAGTCTGAAGCTGCCACACTTTTAAGGTACTGTAGATGAAGGGAGACAAATTCTCATATACTGGGAGCTGGAGAATATTTTTCTACACTGGGTATACTGACTTTAAAAACCCTTTCTTCACCTACAACAAATGAAATGTTAATGGGATCATAAATTATCTGAGAGCTAGAAGAGGTCTCGAGACCATCCAAAGCCATTTGCCTGTCACAAGACAGGATCATACCCATGCCACTCTTGGAAAAACATCTGTCTGTCTGGTGTTTAAAGATGCTCAATACTGGAGATTCAGAAGCCTCTCCAGGCAACCTTTGGTGCTGGTGACTGTGTTTTAATATCTAAGCTTAATCTTTCTCATGTGTACACCAATTACTTATCATTCATAGATACAGAGAACATACTGTTTTCTTTCTGTTGAGAGCAACCCTTATTTTTTTAAAACTTATCATGTCTTCTCTTCAGTTTTTCCTCTCCAAGCCAAACAAGCCTAGTTTGTTGAATCTTTTCTTGTGAGTCATCCTTCATGGATAGTTCCTCATTCTTACTAGCCTCTTCTACGCTCTCTCAAATTTGTCTATGTGTTTCTTTGGCCAAAACCACATACAATATTCTAGGTATTGGTTACTGCTGTTTATGCATTCCACTTTTCTGCCTGCATTTAACACACCAGCAATCTGAAACTCATTTTCTGATAGTATAATGAGAGACAGTGTCAAAAGCCTATCAATATATAGCAACTACTGTTTTTCGTTTATCCACAAAGCTTGTTGCCCACCCTAAAAATAAATTGTATTTGTTTTACAGGTTTTGCTCCTAACAAATCCATACTGACTGTTACTCACCTCCTTGTTAACTTCCAGATGCTTACAGACAGTTATTTGTTGCAGTATTCATCCAGGAATTGCAATTAAGCCCACTCATCTATCATTACTCCTCCACCAAGCTGTTCCTTCTCCCCCTTCTTTAAAGATAGTCATCACATTTGCTTTTTTCCAGAATATTGGTTCATATATCATCCTTGTAAGAAGTAGCTTTAGCAGTTATCAAATGCCTCAGCTGTGCTGCAGCATTTGTTCATCTGCAAAACTGCTTATTGATTCTCTAATAAACTTTAAAAATATAAACATACCTCATGAACTAAAAAAAATGTATTGTTATCTCAAATAACAGTTAAGAAAGCTTTACTTAACTTACAAAAATTAATGTCAGTTTTGGAAATTGTAAGACTTTAATTATAAAAGTTGTGGCCTGAAATAAATTCATATTTAATCATTTCCTAATAATCACGGTTTTGTGAAGTTACAGCAATGGTTAATCCAGAGCTACTAAGCTGTGGTGTGTTAGATCTATATGAAAACCTCTCATTAGGAGATGCAATAGATAGAAGGACTTATTCTGGTATTTCTTTTCTGTAGGAATTCTGATCATTCTTTAACTCCTTTGCAGCTGTTATCATGGAAGGTCACAATTGCCTTTTAAAGATGTTGCAATAGTTCACACAGTACACATGCAGCTGCCCAAGTCTTACAGCATCTCTGTCTGGGACTTAGTTATACTGAGTCCTATCAAGTACAGAATTCATACAGAAAATCTGTTATTCTATTATCAACATAACCTAGAGCCTATAAACATGTGCACACAGGAAGAAAGGGATGTTAGCATATATGGGAGAAGTGATACATCAGTTTTGTATGATTAAGTAGTCCTGAGCCCTGTGCTATCACACAATTCACTAATATTGCAAGCAGACAGGAACACTTGAGCCTGAATTACAAACAATCCTGCTCCTGTAGGTTTGACCAAGTTCTAAGTAGTTCAACCAGACAAACCCTAGTTTGGCAAAACTTCTTTTGAACTGCCCATGCACAGCCCACAAAAGTTACATGCATTATATGCCTTGGCAAGTAAACTCTGTGATGTGGCTAATCTCTTGGTACAATGTATTGCTATTCATGTGTTGTTACGACAAATCAACATACCTGTGGTAGCTGTTTTGCAATGTCTCCACCAACAAACACAGCTTCAAGGTAAATCCAGAGGTTTTGTACAGTAATCCAGTTTTCAATTATCTCTGCAGTATTGGTCAACTTCTGAACCCACTGTTGTATAGTGGACTTAAATGGTGCATTATACCTGTATGAACATGAGTTAAAGGGAAAAGAACCTAAGATGATCATTGTTTACTTTTGGGCTTGATTAGATTCACACAATATGTGCGTTTATTAAGTTTTGTACCTGTTGCTCATGAGCGACCCCAATATCATGAGGCTGTCTTCCACCAAAGCTATTTTCTCCGATATATCTGATCCTTTCAAAAGGAGTTCTCCTCGAGTTTTGAATTGGCCAAAACTGAAAGCATGAGTACTCCATTCACTGATGACGTGCTTCAATTTTGCTTCAATATCCTTTTCTTTAACAGCACTGATGCAGATATCCTGTGTAAAATTGAACTAGTAAATTATATTCTAAGGCTAATATAATGCATGCTTATAAAGACGATTAAAATTCATTGGCTAGATCCAGACTTCAGTGTAAATTCCAGCTAATGAAAATATACATCAAAATACCTCAAAATCATTATATTACAAACTAGATTATATTATAGTACTACTTGTCACTGGAACATTTTATGCGCTATACTCCATTTTCACTAGCACTAGCAACTTACACTATTCACTCACTATGAAAATTCACTGACTCAGAGAACCTGGAGGCAGAATTTGTATTAAATGTTTTAAAATTTGAAGTCAAATATACCTACTGAGGGGGCTAAGGAAAATACACATTATCAATAAAAACCAGTTAACAGTCCAAGAATAGAGTGTACGTGGAAAACATGACTGCTTGCTACTTCTTTAAGACGGTGAGGACAGGACTCTCATAAAATTGGTTATTGCATCAGAGAGAAAAAGAGCAGCTACTCAGACTGAACCCCAAATTAGGGTTCAGGAGTGTATTGGATTCCATCACAGGTTTAAAGTCTTGAGTGTAAGGCTATCATTCTGAACCTATCACATGACTTAGATTCTTGTCTGGAAATTTGGTAGAGGTGAGGTTTGATTTCATGTTTTTGTCTTAGAAGTATTGCTTTGTGGAGCAATACAAATCAGGTCACTACTATGGAGGGACCACAGATAATTCATTTCCATAATGTGAACAAAACAAAGGACATAATTCCACCTCAAACATGAAAGATGTCCACCCTCTTTAACTAATAAAGTTGACGAATTTTCCCACCTAGTGTAAAGGACAGTGGAAAAAAGGCCGAGCCTTTCCCTGTGATGATAAATAAGGCTAAGAACAATCCAGCAGAGTTACTGTACAAAATGTACAAGAGAGCTTAAAGGACTTTGGCATCCAGCTTTCACTGAACATCAGCTAGAGGTGGATGACTAACTCTGCTGCACTCCTTCAAAAATCCTTCAAAAATCCTTCAAAAATCAGCTCAGTGACAACAGAACTGAAGTTAGAAACTGTTGGGTTTTTCCTTCTTTATTTTTAGTTATACTTTGTTCTTGCAAAAGGTAATGAGCATAAACTGATGTACTTGCTAGGTAACTATTGTCCCCAAAATGGAGAAGGCAATAGCTTTGTAGCTTGGGCACATTACATAAGCCTTCTCATTGCTCTGTGTTCTTGTGAAGAGTCACTTTTGAAATACAAAAGAACCTTGTTCTCCTTTAATCCTATATCCTCCACTTCTACTGTGTTCCAAGCATTTTGAGCGCTAAAAGGATCCGAGTCACATCAACTGTTTTTTCTCTCTGAGGAGACACTTAAAAGGAAGAAAAAATTACAAATAGGCAGACCGTAAACCAGAAGCATGACAGAATCACACTACTCATAAAACAACAGAATTCCTTCCATGGAAGGATTAGTGTAATACTATCTACCCATTTAATCCTTCTCCAGAATAAAAAGGAAATAAACTAACCATCACTGCTAATACCAGCTACCTTCAAAAGAATTCTCCAACTCAGGCCAATTTTTTTTAATGTTACAAAGCTGACTAGAAACAGGATTCGAAAAGCACAGAGCCCCAGATCACAAGTTAGTCATTTAAAACAATCAGAAAAGTACATGTACCTCAATATCTTCTTTATATGATAATAAAGAGGCATCCATTATGTTTTTCAAAGCAAAATTTTCAGAGTCAACATGAAAGTCATGCCCCGTTACTTGTGCAATTCTTTCCCAGTGTCGTGACATCATTGCCTAGAAAAGTCCATAAGAATTAGGGAAGATTTTTTAAAATTGTATTTTTAGGACTAGAATGATCACATATTTTGCATTGCATCTGTTAAACAAATAGAAGAGTCTTGATTTCCATTCCATTGAAAGCATTAATAATTATTCTAATCACATTATGAAGTCTTTTGTTTTACTTTTCTGTAACTAAGCCTAACTAGATTTTTGCCATAAATATAGCTGCTTTTATCTATAAAAAAGAATTATGGAAAGCATCTTATAGTCATACAATTTAGTCTTCAATAGATTTTTTCAAGTGAATCTTATCTCCAAATTATTATGCTGAACATACTTTGTTTGCCATCATTTCAAGCAAAGGACAGCTCTCTGTGAAGTCATCAATTTTTCTTTTTAGGTCTTGAAAAGCTTGCCATTCCTTCAATGCTTTTGGTAACTTACGGATTCTTTTAAAAGCACAAAAAAAGAGAAATATTTTATTCTTAATAATCACAATCCACCATTTAATAGTACAATGTATTCTCATTTTTCAACCAATGAACCAGTAGACTGTAATTAAAAATCCAGATGCAAGCTGGCAACATAGTATATAGCTGATTGTTTCTCACTGCAGGCATGAAACACTGCTAAAGACAGTAAAAATCACACTGGAATGATTTGGTTTCACTTTAAGTTTGAATTAAAGGAGGTTAATTTCATGTGCAAACTCATGTCTGAAGTTAAGCTTTTGCAGTATCACTGTTTTATCAAAAAATTGAAAATGCACCTGATTTTGTAAAAGGGAAAAAGGATTAAACAACATCTATTTTTTCAAGCAAAATAAAGTACATCCTAAACAAAAACTGACCTGCTTGCAAACAGGAAAATACTTCTGTTTCAATCAAACAAGTCTTATTTCATACCTAGTTTGTACAAAGGATATTTAAAGAAAAATCTTCCTTTATGAACAATTTCAAGATGAAAAAAATTTGAAAATTTAGAACCTCTTGTACTATGAATTGTCAGGGCTCCACTTGCTTCTTACAAGTCATGCCAATTTTCATCTGCCAAAGCTACATACCAAAGACTGACAGCAGTTCTCTTATAGCTCAATGGCAGAAACAAAAAGCTGCATAAAACCAACCCATAATGAAAAATTCCTTCAAATAAATTCTCCATTTTTCACAGCTCAAAATCAGACAAATCTGTCACACAATGCTGGAACATGTGTGAATTCTTCACTGCTTGCTGGTAAGAGGTGTATGAACATATGCATACTGCCGTAGCACTGCAATAATCTCTGTAGACTTTCATCTTGAATCCAACAATAGACAGTATTAAATATGCTAGAGAAAAGCATTGCAGAATGGAAAATTATACTCTGCCAGGTATGGATAAGGCTTTAAGAGGCAGTTCCTGGATACTTCTATGCCAAGGCACAACAAGTACCATTCTTACAAGTACTGTCTTAGGCTGGCCATTGGAAATCGGATCTCTTAGCTTGGTAATGAAAACTACTAATTTTTTTACACAAATACCTTTTTTCTTTGTCTTGGTCTCAGTAATATCTTCTAACAGCAAGTTCCATGAGTTACATACTGTGTTAAAAAAATACTCCATTGATCAGGTTTAAATTTCCTTCTTAAATATACTGGTCATTCTCTTTACACTATATTACAGTAAAACATAAAGGGAAACTTCTCTCTAGCTGTTATTATAAACGTCTATAATATTTCCCTCCACATGCGTTTTCTCTAAATATTTATCCTTTTTATCTCTTTTTAAATGGATTTATTTTCATCTACAGTTATTTTTGTGATTCTTCTTTTCATGATTCTAGGTTTTCTATTCTATTACTATTTTTAAAAGGGGTAGCAAAAAAGAATCTTAAAGAACTATGCATATCTTTACAATTATACTAGAACACTAACTGCATTTCCAGTATTCCTGTTCCTTTCATAACACAGCATACTATCTTAGTCATTCCTGTGGGTACCCGCTGTACACTATTTAAACTTCTCCAGCTTTAAAGATAATAGCTTGATGCAATAATGCTAGCCTGCCAAAGGAAAGATAGTATCAGGTTAGACTTCTATCACAAAAAATTATTTACTGACTACTGGTGGTCACCTTGCTCCAAATACAGCTCAACACTTGAGAGGAAAAAAAAGTCACACGTGAAGTAAAAAGAGAAACGCATAACTTTCAAAACTGTTGTCACGCAATGGTTTCCTTCAGAGTTCCAGGAAAAGGAAGCCTAAAGAGAGTCCTACTAACCTGTAAAATATAATTAACTACAGAAAAAATGATGACGCAGACTCCAGAATTCTACTGAAATTATATCAAGACTTATAGATACTGTCCAAATGCAGAAGTATATCTATTTTACATACATTCTTACCACTATTATTTTTAAAAATAGGGCTTTTTTTTCAAATTAACAACTGAAAGATAGTTCACTTAGGTTTTCCAGAAAAAGAAAAACATCTCCACTGCACTCCTTCAATGTATACAGAAATGGACCCTGCTAAAATGGTGACACACTCAAAAAAACATATGACTATGTCCTGGTTTCAGCCAGGATAGAGCTGGTTTTCTTCACAGAAGCTAGTGTGAGGCTGTGTTTTGGATTTGGGATGAGAAACTGTTGATAATGTGCTGATGTTTTGGGTTGTTGCTGAGCAGTCAAGGACAGTCCAGCTTCTTGTGCTGGCCTGCCAGCGAGCAGGCTGGGGGTGCATGGGGAGCTGGGAGGGGACACAGCCGGGACAGCTGACCCAGACTGGCCAAAGAGACATTCCCTACCATACGACGTCATGCCCAGTACATAAACTGGAGTTGGCCGGGGGGCGGAAATCGCTGCTCGGGGACGGGCTGTCGATCACGGGGTGGTGAGCAATTGCCGTATTGGGCATCACTTGTTCTTGTACATTCCTTTGTTGGTATTATCATTGTTGTTCCCTTCTTTCTTTCTGTCCTATTAAACCATGTTTATCTCAACCCACGAGTTTTTTTTCCAATTCTCTTCCCCGTCCCACTGTGGGAGGGGGAGTGAGTGAGCGGCTGCGTGGTGCTTAGCTGCCAGTTGGGGGTAAACCACGACAGACTAAAAGGCCTGAGCACAAGTAACTTTTCCTATGCTTGTCAAAGATTTGGGATGAGGTGAAAAACAGAGGTTTGATCTCATTCTCTTGAATAATACCAAAATGTAAGTGAAGCCTCTCTCAGGTCACATTGGAGAATCCAAAATCAAAAGCTGATCAGAACTACTGATGAAGCAGACACACACACTGGCTCTTCCAGGAGAGAAGCTCTGCAGAAGAGAAAGCTCTTTATATTGAGTATGAACTTGTCTCGACAGAACTCACTGAGAAAGTGGTCGGAGCCACTGTGTAAAGAGGTGAAGAAAATGCTTATACCAAAATAATAAAAGAACAAAGTAAACAGAGAGGCAGTTCATATTTTTTTTTCAATAGATATGCACAAGATAAAAAAATTGCACATTTATTTTCCAAGTTTTGCATGTATTTTGGTTCTCATGTATATTCTGTCATTCCCATTAAAAGTAAAACTGGTAAGACTGGTACAGATAGCTACTCTGAAGGAATGGATGCACAGAATACTTGACCTGCATATAGACTCTCCACTTTCACATATAGCAAAATTCCCCTTTTCTAGCAAGCAATTCTGACCATACTGCTGTGCCAGGAATCAGAATTCAAAGCGAGCTGTCAAAGGGGAAACAATCCAAATCCTGTTGGTTCATGAGCCCCTGCCTCTGAGAGTAGTAATAATAAATAAGCTGGGTCAGGGAAGTCTTGCAGGCCCAGCCATGGCTGTTGAAAAACCAAAGGTGCATCTTTACGAACACAGTAGAACAATTCCTCTGATTTCAGCACAGCATGGTTTCACCTAACAATTATTTTGCATGTGTAAAACATTATTCCTCTCAAACCTCATAAATAATCCCTCAGAATTTAGTGTGGATACCTACCCTTGTTGAAATAACAATTTCAATCCATACAAATGCGCAGAAGTAGACAGTAGACATCAAAATTCTGCCTAACACCACGGACAAACAATTAATTAGCTGTAAACTAAATCACTAAGAAGGTAATATATGAAGATCAGATATGAAGGTTATTTATACTTACAATCACCTTGCCACAGGTCTATGTGCCTTACTCATTAAATAAGCTACAACCTACCATGTCAGTATACGCCAACAGGTATAAAGTGACTCGCAGACTGAGCTAAGTAAGGTCACACGTTAACTGCATATTGCACCACAGTCTGCAAGTACTGCGGCTGTGCTGAGCACTTGTGCAAGCCTGAGCTTGATATAAACCAACAGATTTTTGTCCCTCAGGGCAAATTTCACAAGATAATTAACATAGAAAGCTAATAAATAAAAATTGTATGCACTTCAACAAATAATAACTTACCTGTTCTGGAAATCCAGAAGTTCATTATTAATTTTTTCAATATCTAAATCATTCCAAAGCATTTCATTGTATCCATCGATATTAGCAGTGACTGAATTATAAAGACTGTAAAGTTTCTGAAGCAATGAAAGCTCACGTTTAATTTTGAGCAGTTCAGGATACTCTGTTTCAAATTTTAAAAGAAATTTGTGAATTTTAATTAGGTACAACTGTATTCATGAACACAAAAATCCATATATTTCTAAAGTTGCTATTTAATGTCTGAAATCAGATTTGCAGTCTTTTAGATAGCGTCTAGTAAGACAAATTTTTCCAGTTACATTACATATGAACATCAGATTTTTATGCACAGTAATTGTTTATATTGCTGAGTTTTTTATAAATATTCTTTTATCACAGTAGATGTAATCTTACAAGTATCATGCTGCACCTATCTCTGTGAGGAATATAATGTTGAAAAAGTAGTTGAAATGGCAAAGGAACGCTCTATAGTTTTATACAAGAACTAAAATATTCCCCATCTCAATTTGCATTATATACTTAAGAGGTTGAGGATTGGGGGTGTGCTTTCAAAATAAAAATACAGAATATGTTACATAATAAAAGTATTTAAAATGGACCTCCTTAATGGAAATGTTTTGTTTAGTTTCTCTCCTGTCTTTGGGAATTCCTAGTTAAATATATTGTGATTATTGCATATGTTTTCAGACAGGAGAATATACTTAATTTAGTATGTACAAATTAAAGTGCTTATCATACATTCTGCTATAACTTTAGTTCACACCATGGTCTTCCAAACTTGAAGTGTGTCTGACTAGGAGACATAAGGATATTACAGATCAGTTGCACAGCCCAAGGGAATTCTATATCTGGAGCAGTGACAACTTGAGTACTTCAGCAACATATTTCCCAAATTTGGACATGGAAGAAATCAGAAGGACATATGCTTAACTCTGAAAAGAAAAAGCAAGAGAACTAAGCAGCTGGACCCTGAGATACATGGAATGGTGTAATATTTTTCCACCTAATGTTTATGTATGTGCAGACTGAGAGCCAGTTTCACACAGCTGCTTTTCATAGGAAAGACAATAATAATTTACTGCAAGGAATTTTTCTACAGTTAATCCAGCACTGAATACATTTAGCAGGACCCACAAGAAAAATTTAATAGCCTAGGACGAAGTATTCATATCCCCTGAGAAACTACCTGTGATAGGAAGACCAAATAATTCTTCCCCACTAGAGAGAGAGATATACTTCCTCCATAGTTCATCAAATTTGGCTTGAAAGGTCTGTAATCTGTCACTTGCTTCATGGGGAGGAACATTCTCCTCACTGGGGCCCCTGTAAAAAACAAAACAAATTCAGTGCAAGTATCAACCATACAGGCTTCACAAAGAAGCACAACAGAACCCAGACCTTAGTTACTGAACAGTATTTAATATTTTTTAACATTTTTTCTAGAAATTTTCACAAAAGACACTAAAAGAGAAAATGCAAAGTATATTCAGTGTCCCAGAATGACATACTGAGTAGTCCCTGAAAGAAAGGCCAATTTATTTTCTAATAATAAAATTCACCTGGGTTACCATTTGTATTACAAACAGCTAAAAAGATCTACAAATGTTTTTGCCTTTTTCCATTTCTTTTCTTCTGTAAAATGCATTTTAATGATTATTTTCATGTATATTCTCAAAAAGGGAAAGACAGCATGTACATAATTCAGGAGTGAAAACTGTGGTAACTGTTACTAGAACTGTAATTAAGCATTCAGAAAAATAACATAAAAAATATGATTTGCCCTAATGAGTATATCTCAGCTGGAGAACTGGGTGTAATCCCCACCTCTCACACCTGGGATCACTTCTTGATTGTATCATAACATTTTGGGATAAGAACTGTATGTCATCTTCTATTGTGCCATGGCTATTTCTAGAAGGAAATACAGGCATCAGAGAGCAGTGCAGGCTGGCTGCTTGGCAAGGAAAATTGAACCAGGAAAGCAGTAAAATGGTCAGCAGAGGCAGCCAGGGCCTGGTCCCATAGTACCCAAGCAAGGAGGGCAGGACAGGCCTGAGGATGGTAGTCAGGTTCAAATGAGAATCCAGATCTTCAGACAAGTCCACAATAATTACACAGGACCAAGGTCAAGCAGGGAAGGTGAGTCAGTAAGTCAGGGTCAGGAGCAGGTCTAGGGAAGGTAACCAGGATGAGACACAGTCCAGTGGTTACCAGGCTGTTCTGAGATCAGGCTGAGAAGTGAGTCTGCGCATTGGGATCCAGGTTCAGCTCCATAGGGTCCATGGCCAGGCACAGGCACAGGCATGGCTGCAACAGAGCTGGAGCTGTAGGTCAGGGGGCCAAGCAGTGAAGTCTCAGCTTCAAGGCAAATCCTACAGGAAGGATCCTACAGGCCTTCCTAAGGCCTCCCAGCAGAGCTGCATGGGAGTGCTCTGTCACCAAAGGAAGGGGGAAGCCCTCAGATGCTCTAGCTCTAAGTTGTCCCTGAGCCCAGGCAGCTGAACCTCCAGGAGGAGAGATGCTCTCAGGGTCCCTACAACTGGTAGCAGCCACAGGGTGTTTCCATGAATTCTTCTTGGATGACTCCAAGAGCAGAACTGCAGGCAGCACTGTGCATGCATCCACATTAGCAACTTGGTGCTCTAGCAGGTTGCTTTTAGGTGCAAATTCACCTTGTGTCTATAGCTGGAGTCTTGAAGCATGTGCTTAAATGCACTGCTAGTGTGCCTTCAAGAAGTTTCACTCCCAGTGAAGCCAAGGTTGAAGCCAAATACCCAGTTACCATTTGGACCACCCTGCTTGTAACACCAATGCAAAAGCACCCACCCTAGGTATATATTCTCCAAGGCCCATCAGGAGTGAGTGCTCTACATGTACACTGAATTCTATTCGTAACAGCAAGGCAATGCCTGTAAGTGTGCAGTGCATGCCTAGGGTCAGCTGCTGACATGAACTTCATTGCCACAAAACACACTGTGCATGTAGTGTCCTAGAACCATATCAGATCGCAGGAAAACAAATTCTGGTCTTTCCTTCTTCATTGATAATGTAGAAGTGTCCCATGAAGGACACATACCCCACAATTTAAATTTAAAAAAGCCAAAGCTTAGAAGTAAAACTGAGTAAGACTCAGTGAACTTAGAAACAGCCAGAACTGGAATCTTCGCTCACATCTAAGGCACTAATTAAGTACTTAATATTAAATATATGTTTAAGTGCTTTGTTCAGGTTAGAAACCTCAAAAAACCCTTTAAATTTGTATCTGGATTGAGAATTGGGTTTTTCTTCCCCAACCTATTAGCTCTTCTGGGATTTCACCGACTCCAGCATTGAAATTATGGGAATCAATATGTGACAGTAAGAGTATCAGCCCACCTTATATTATTCTGAAATTAGGCTTTTTTATCAGCTGTCATATACACATTGAGGCTGTATTATGTTTATTTTCTGAAGCCCTTTCGATACACTATTTTTGAGCAATCACTAACAAAGTATAATTGTATTGTACCACAGGTCACTTACTTTTCATCATAATCTTTGTAAAATTCTGCAGTATCAATCTGGAATTTTTGAACACCACTCAGTAAATCTGTTTTCATGTCTGGCTGTACCTTCAACAGCAAGTCCTCAACCTGCAGTGCCTACATGCAGACAAAGAGGAAAAACAGGCACAAAAGAGGCAGGGGAAAAAGCACAGAGTTTTAAGTAAGAAAATAGTTTTGTTCTAGCATTTCAACATTAAAAAGGCTGACAATAACTTTGCTATATATATAATCTGAGAAATAATACAGCTATGATACCTGTGTGATTAGGTTCTTCCAGGCATAAGCCAATCCATCAACTTTTTCTGTATTTCCATCTTGAAAGAGTAAATTGTATTTATGAAGCACAGAATAAGATTCTTCTATAGGTCCAACTGTCATGTCAATTTTAATCTCATTCTCTCGAATTTCCTTTAGTGCTACCATTGCTCCCCGTACATCGTCAAGGTCATGGATAGGTCTGCTTAATCTCTTGCTAACGTTTTCAATGAATGAATAAATTTCATCCATGTCTGTGGCAGACTTTTTATTCAAAGCTAATCCAAATGTTCTTTGTCTTGAGTGGCATTCTTGAATTAAGGCTATTTTCAATGACTCTGTTGCAATATCCACCGATTCCAGTATGCAGTGATTTGGCAGTTCTCTGATTTGCATTTCTAATTGCTAAGACAAACACAAGTGTTCGGGTTTTAATTTCACCACAGTTTCTCTGAACAGTTCATTGTTATTAAAGATAAAATACTTACAGAAAAGTATCTGATTTGAGTTTGGAATTCAGCCGTTGTTGGTTTAGTATCGATAAACTCCTTCACTTTTTCCTCTGGATCCTATATAAAAGAGGTTTATTTTAATTATTACTTAGCATTGGTATTACAATAACCTGTGGGGGACCGAGCTGCCTGATCTACTGTGCAAGCACAAAAGATCCTCTCTAAAAGCTATAAACATTAAGATCAAATTATTTCACTTAAACTGCTTTTCCTGACTCTTACTCTTTGTACCGTACTCTGTACTAAGTGCTTTAAGGCACTTCAAATCTATCTATAACTGAAAAACTGACACAGATCAGGATAGCCCTTATCCATCCAAATATTACTACAGAATTTACAATGTAGCTGCTAAAACTTTGCTGAAAATATTTCCCTCCCAGTCTCCCTTCTGTCTGCAAACCCCCAAATGCAGCTCACATCCTCTAACAGGTACATCAATGGTAGTGATTGTACTCAGCCATCTTCATTCTTCCTGAAACAGTATATGTAACTGCAGTTTCTAGCTACAAATGGAATGGTCATTTGGAGCAAGCACAGTTTGGCAGGGAAGGATGGCTCTAAGGTAAGAGGGGGCATTTAGCTTGTTGAAGCTTGTTTAAAGGGAGCAGAGCACTGAGCATCCTTCCTTTTCATAAGGTAGGCCAGTATCTGCAGAGGCAAGAACTTCAGTGTCACCCGCTCAATAAATGTGTCAGATTCTTGGTTCAATTAGAGACAAATGATCTTTACCCAGCTCAATAACATTCATCTACAGTCTGCACTGAAAGGTTCTGAGAAGCTGTTACGGCTTCTTTGGCCAATAATGAGTTACTACTGACAGTTGCCAGTGGTCCTACAGAAATTATAAAGACAGGGGACAATAGTGCCAAATCCTAAGGAATTTTAAGGTTAAGGAGCAGATTAATTGACTATTATAGAAGATTTTAGTCAAAAGGAAACCTTATCATGCTACGGCATCATCCAATCTGATTGTGCCTTGTCTGTGTGAAATGACATACCATCAATATGTGGTTAGCTCAAACAATATCTCCAAAAGCTGAGGTAACTAAGCATTAAGATTTGGAAACCCAGAAACTATGAAGAGGTGAAAATTCCCTGTCTTGACTTGAACTCTAACTGCAAAAGAGTCAGCTGCGGCCACGTGTTCACCTGAGAGTTGGTTTAGGTAGGGGAAGTTAAAAATAGTGAGCATTTGCAAAGATTACTCCTGTTTTTATTGCTTGTTTCTCAGACTGACTAAAGCACCTTTGATAGGTAAGAACAGAAGTGTCCATCTACAGAGAGTTGAGTTTCACTAGTCAGAACGTATACAAGATTTTACTTCATGAAATATCTCCTTCCAAAACACTCCTTGGAGCTTTACCATTTATGTGACTGGACCCACTTCCTAAAGAAGACAACTCCATCAGCCCAGATTCTCTTCTGCTTTGAAATCCTTATTACTGGAAAGATTTCCTAGATTTAGCTTATCACTTGTTTGAAGAAATAGAAAAGCTGCTTTCAGCAGTGGTTGCAGAAGAAGAACTAGTCAGTTTAACATTCAGGAACAGTTTTGTAGTCTGCAATTTCTCAGATGCTGCTAAATTATTCTTTTTTATAACCTATAGAGACAAGATACTGTGAGAAAGATGCACAAGAGATCATAAGCTTGTTTATGCTCCAAACATACTTTTTTGTTCTTCTGCTTTCTTCCTTAGATGGTTGAATTGGTAAAGAATGACAAGTTCTAGTCAACACAAGAGGAAACAGAGGAGGTACTATTGGTATATGGATTCTACTATGAAGCCAATGCTTCCTGCTGGGCACACAGTCTCCTTACGCAGCCCAAAACAGCTGATTTAGAAAATTTCACAATACAGTAACATATTTTATTAAATATGTATTTAACCTTGTTCCAGATGCCTGAAAATTCAGAAAAGCTGTTCAGAAGATCCGATGCTTCAGTTTTGAGAGATAAAATAATTGTGTTTAGTTGGATCACCATTTTGTTTACATCCTTATGTTCGATGATCTGTTTGTCTAAAGGTTTCAGTGCCACCATCCTGGTGAGTTTGCTCTCATCGCCTAGCTCTACAGCAACAGCTTGTTCAATCTGGCATAAGTTAAACAAGAAAAAAGATATGTCCAGTAGTTTTATATAGTTTTTTTACATTATAGAATGCCCAATAATGCACACACAATAACTGCTTCTAAGAACAGATAGAGAGTGCACAGAAAGCATCCACAAGGAGATCCCCTGTTCTTAGCTTGGATTTTTGCAGAACTACAGTTCTAGTGTTAAAGCTGATTTTATAAAAAATTGCCATGTGGAGCGCTATATTAATTGCCTCTGACATCTGTCAAATATGTGTCATATATAAGTACAACTGTGATGTCTCCTGCTCCTACACAACTGCTCAGGTCTTACGGGTTCCTTTAGCATAGAAGTACAATCTTTACCCATTCTTGGCCAAAAAAGGTCCTGTAGGTGGTGGGGTTTGGCTGCTTGGAAATAAGCAAACAATCCTGCTTGAAGAAACGGAATTCAAACCGCTCTCTGCTAGTTTATTTTCTTCATTATTTATTTGCAGGACTTGAATGGGTTTTTTTCACTGAAATGAGTTGATCTGTTTTTCATGTCAGATCAACAAAATACAAAGATATTTTTACAAAAACACTTTTCATCACAGATCTACATAGATCTGTATTTCAGAGGAGAGAATTAAGGCCATCTGATTACCATTACTGTTTCTGCACTTCAACAAATTTCAGTTTCTATCTATACCTCAGACCATCCCAAGCTTTTAGTGCTCATTTTAATGCCGGTTAAAATATTTATATTGTATTTACTGTAGCATTATAGGTGCTGTATGCAGCCTGGAAATTTAACTTAAAATACAGTTTTTGGCTGGAAAGACTGATAACAATTTATACTCAGCTAGTAGTACCCATGGATAATATTAGTTTTTACACATTATCTACACCATCATCATCATACCTGAACAGTATATTTAAAAGACTTTTTAAAAGCAAATTTTAATTTTATATTAGAAACCACCAAACATAAGGTTTATGAATTATTACTCTTATGTTCAATTACTTGGTACAGAGATTAAAAACTGGGCTTTCACATAACAGGAAGATCCAGCAGATTACAAGTCAAAGTATTGGTAGAGAACAAATTCTTATGAGATTAAGAAATGTTAACCAAAATACTAACATTTTAAAATAATCAAAATAAAACACTCACCTGCTGCTGTTTATGATGTAAGTAAGCAAATTTCCACAGGGGGATATCTTTAGCTATTGATAATATGATATTTACTGCTTTGTTTACAGCACTCTGAAAACAGAAAAACATTCACCTTGAACACACAGAGAGATTATGACAAATAAGAGGGGGAAAAAAAACCAAAAGGGGATCCTCCAAACAATAACAAAATGGCAAAATTATACCTCTATCTTTACAGGAAATATTCTAATAAGCATGAAGTAGGATCACCCAAAATACATTTTGTAAGGGGAAAAAGTACTTCATAAAGCTTTATCACAGTCCTTCTCATTTATGTGGTTTTCAAACAAGAACATGAGACCTTCATGAGCAGTAATCATGAATCACTGGGGATCATAACTTAATTATAGTGCTATTTCCCCTTAGACTGGTTATAAACATAGTTACTTATTATGAATAATAGTATTTTTCACATTCACATCAGAATGCCTGAACACATTTGTCTGAATTTGTGATGGTATAGTCTAGAATCTATACAGGCAGCTATATAAATTATTATATAACTTCTTCTATCTATGGTAGTTTAAAATTACACTTTGTGGTCTGATTTCTTGCTGACACCACTATGAAGGCTGCAAATGAAATCTGAGAAAGAATTCAACTACTGATTTTGACAGTGACAATGCTAAATGAAAAGTCCACAAATCAACACCATACAAAACTAATACTTGGTGAATAATTTCAGACATCATAGGAGATCGCAAGTACATGTATAACAGTTTTGCTGAATTAGTATAACTTTAAATGGGTGTTCAAATTTTTTCACATGTTAGGGCCTCAGGCTACATTTCTTTACTGCAGAATGGTAATTTATGAATGATACTTTAAACTGATAACAACATTTGATATTCTGAAAGGTCTCCTTAAGGACACCAGAAAGTCAAATCAGGCTGTATCAATGGCATTCATTTTTATTTCTGTATTCACTTTGAAATGTTTGCCTCTAAGTAGAGGACTGTGAATATGAGTTACTGAGCCTTTAGGAAAAGAGTTCCTTCCACTGGCCTGCATAACAAACCTGATCAGTGGCTTCATGTCCTTAGCACCCAGTGATGTCACAAACTCAAGCAACTTTTAATCTTTTTTCCCTTTCTTTTAGTTCTTATACTGATTAAATTTGCATATGTTGTTTTAAAACAATACATTTATAAATGTTTTACCATAAATGACTGATATGTGCAATTACTTTGTTACCTGAATATCTTCAAGACTTGGTTTCAAGACAACATTAGGAATGGCCAGTTGAAATTCAGCTTTGAACAAAGGAACCCTCTGTGTCTCTACAAACTTGGTCATCTGATACCTAGAGTCAACAGCACGCAATCGATGCCTTAAGGACTCTAAAGAAGTTTTCGTGCCTAGATAAATATAATATTTAAGTGAGCTTATATTTGGGGGGGGGAAATATTAAAGCGATATTAAAAAACTAAACATATCTGAAAAAGATAGACTCACATCTGACTAAAGAGTCAGTATTCTTCTGACAAAGCTGCCCCATCAGATTGTAGTAACTACAGGACAGGCATTCTTGGCAGCGTGTTTTCTGTTTCATGTCGAGATGTGTACAGGCATATGAATCCTGAAGAGTTAAAGGGAAATTCTTAGGAAAATAACCTTATTATCCAACATCTAAGTGAAATATCAAGTATCTGACTAGGTTATAAAATGTTATTTTTTACACTGTGAGGTCTTACCTCCAGACTTCTTCTGGCATCTTTCAGCCTGTGCTTAAGAATATCTACCAGTTCATACACAGAGTATTCCACTTGCTGACTCTGTCTACAAAAACAACCTTACAGTCACCCACAGGGAATCACACATAAGAAATACCCTTTCTTATTTTCTAGGCACACCCCCCAGACCGACTGCACTGTGAAGAATTGTATGTGGAGGGAAATACCCTTATAATTTTCAGTTTCTTCCTATTGCTTGGGCATACAGAGAATGTAAGACATTAAGATATGCAGACTATCAAGAAACCCATTTGCCAGACTGTTACATCTGATTCAACTGGACTTCCTAATAATTAATATGTTAATAAAACAGGCTTATCATGATGACGCAGTAAGATAATCTGTGAAATCAGAATTAGGAAAACAAAACCAAAGAATAAATAGAAGGTATCTTATTTTGCACAACAGGCATAGACATCTTTTTGGAGAAGAATTGAACAGCTATTCTCCTATAACCTGGGAAATAAGCATAGGCCAAAAAATTTGGGCACTGGGAGAATGGGAAGTCTTACATTAGCTAGCTAGCATCAGGAATCATGCAATTAACATGGGATGAGATTTCAAGCCCCATCCATCTTCATTTTTCTTGCTACTGATTAGAATTCCATAAGAAGCAAAATATGAAATTCTAAACACTACACAAACAATTTTACATCTGCTGTAAGCAAGATACTTGGGAGCTTCTCCCCTGTATCCTGAGACTATCATTTTGCTTTAGACTAGTCCTTTCTTAAAATATATTTTGAAAGTGAACTCTCTATGCATAATAAAGTAATACATAAAACAATCCCTCCCAAATATGGCCTTGAAACCTGTGCAGTTAGTAAACCTACTGAGACAGTTTGTGAGCAGTAGAGACAGCAAGCTTTTCTGTCTGTTCCAGGAAACAAAGCACATCTATAGGTTCATCTTCCGGCAAAATTATCAGAGCAGTGTTCGACATATCCTCCAGAATTCTTTCAATTCTGCATTCCAGGGTATCAGACACTTCTTTGACTACATAGTCCAACTCCCTGAGGGTACTATAAACATTCTCAATAACTAAACAAAGAAAACAAAATGAAAACAAATCATGCAAAATACAGACCTCTTAAATCTCATCTCCTCTTCCCTACCCCCCTCCACACACACACACCCCCCAGGTATTACAATAAAATGAGGATTTAACGGTGATTAAATATGCAATTAAGGTCTGAAATAGAAACATGATGGACTTTCTCTATTTTGGAGTCTTTAAATTAAACAGTTTTGTAATAAACAGTACACTAGCCTTCAAAATATCTCTTCTTTTTTGTATTAAAGAACATTGCAATGAAAAGGATCAACAAAATACAATGGAAAGTAGAAAGGATACAATTTTGGGCCAAAATTTATTTTGGTCCTCCTACATACATACACAGTGAAATCCAGTACTTTCATTACTGTAATTAATTTATAAATTCAATGGCTAAAATTCCCCCAGTCAAGATCGCATACTGGTTAAACCACTAGATGTCTTCTTTCATGCGTATAACCTAACTTACTCTGGAAAGAGATAAACCGAGTGCTTTAACAGATGTGTTTATTAAACTAGGTAAAAACAACTGTTTCTGAATAGACTGGATAAATTATTTCCTTGTCTTTCATACTTTTCATTGCAAAGAAGAAAGAAAGATGTCACCTGACACCCTTTCTCTTTGTATTTGTTATTACCAGACAGTAATATTTATTACTGAATCACCAATACTCTTTCTTAGGGTACATAGAAAGAAATCACTATGATATCTGAGACACAGAAGTGTAGCAGTGGTGTCCAGCTGCTGATGTTTTAAGTGGAAAACATAATTTGTTCCTATTAGGAATTTAATGATGGAGCTTGTCTTTTTTATTAATTAAAATGGACAAATAATCCAACCAATTCCGTAGTTGTTTTTTTAATACGTAAATTAGGTAGTCCTAAATAAATTTTTTAGCCTTGCCTCCTGAGTTTTAGTGTAGAAGGCAACCACGGGCCCCCATACTTCTACATATAAGATAGAAATAAGGCACTTAAGACACTAAGCTTGTGCATAGTGAATTCAACATATTGCTGGCAGGTCAGAGTTATTTTGTATACACTGAACTAATGTCTAATTTGTAAGTGTGCAACATGCATTCTGGGCACGTTAGACATTGCACATCTTCAAAAAGATATAACACATACACTCAAGAAAAGCATTCCTTTCTAGGGGTGATTCCATTTCAGCTGCAGCAGCAGGAAACAGGAAGCAGCCCAGATAATCTTGCTTGCATAACCTCTCTCTTGTCAAAAAAGGCCAGTTTCCACCAGAGCAAACGCTGATCCAAAGAACCATTAAAACCTGAATTACAGCTATTCAGATACTTAACACAGTGCAGACAGAACATAAACAAATAAATAAATAAATAATACTGGAAAGACCTTCCTTATGATGCATTACTAAACTATGCAAACCAAATACAAAATTTCATTTTAGAGCTATAAAACAAACATTAAAAACCATTTGCCATTAGTTTTTTGTGCTCTGGTCAGAAAAAAGTCAAGTAAAGCCAAAAGGTGACCAGCCCTGTCAGAGCCCCATGCACCAGTGCCACAAGGCAGAGTCAGAAATGAACGTCTGCACAAACCCATGTCCCATTTCATTTTCAGATTTAGGCTGCATCTGTTCCTGTTTCTTATGCTGCTTTTCATTTTGAAGAAGAAAAGCGAAAGGCTAACATCAGTCTACCTCAACTGAAAACTGATTTACAAGCATGTTTTCCCCTCATATAGATGGAGTGTTCTTCCTAAAACTGACAAGGAAATATCTGGCAGGTACCACGAAACATAATCAACAGTTCAGCACTTCTTTCTCGTACTACATACATTTATTAATGTTCAAAGACGACCATGACAGCTGCATCAGGCCTGGGGTAAGGGCATCCTCAACTTGTCCTATGAATGGTTTCATGAGTGGTTTCAGCATAACAGGTATCCCCTTCAGACGCTCTTTGTAATTGATCAACAGGTTCTGGAGTCTGCAAGACAGGAACAGGTTTAGAACGTGCTTAATACAGATATTTGAAACATACAGAAGTTTGGACATGTTTTCTGTTAAAAAGATTTGCAAGTTCTGACCCCATGTTAAAAATAAGAACTCTTCCAAGCTCTTCCTAGCTCACAGTAAGCCTCTTTCTCCCCACTAACAGCAGAACCAGACTGGGGAAATAAGTACCTCCAGCAAAGTGACTGTGATCAATTTAGAGGGACTTTCTTTCAAGGAAAATTAGTAACAACAAAAACCCCAGGAAACTGAAAACATGGTATTTTTGTTCCCTTCTTCCTATCTCACAAGACATGGCATGAAATGACATTGCTTATAAGAAAAGCAAGATCCAAACCACTTAGGACACCAAATACCAAAGAAAAAGAGGCCAAATTCTGAATCAAGATTTACCAATATAGTTCCATGAAAACGGAGCTACACAAAGAAGCTGCATAAACAAGAATTAGAAGTGAATGCAACTCAGAAGTCAAAGATACAAAATGGGTTCCTTACAAGAACTGCTGCAAAAAAAGTAATAACTCTGTTCTAAGCCAAATTAAAGCCGTGACTTGAAACATCATTGTTACAAACTGTATACTGCGATAACCCTTTTGCAATATACCCAGAACCATTTTTCCAGTGTTGCTTAAGCAAAAATCTACAGTCTCTGAATATTCCTTCTTTGCTTGGGGAGTCCGTCTGAAGTCTTTTTTTAGAGTAGAAAGTAAGTTTGGATTTTTTTTATTGCAAACATTTTCTGTACTTCTTTGTTTCTCTTGGATGGCAAAAGTTGGGTTTGTTCCTTTTTAGAGGACTGTAGCACATAGAGTTTGCCTTGCACATTAGAAATTTTAGGTTAGTTTGTCCTAAAACACTCCACAGGTAATTAATGAAAAATGTTGTATTAAAAAAGTGAAAGACTGAAAGTTTTAACAATAGAAAAAGGGAGGAAGTGTTGAATTCAAGTGTTTGTGCAAATCTTTGAACTCTGTCCCTTTTTGTCCAGTTCCATTTAAAAACCATGTAAAGAATGCTCCTCACAAAGGATGACTTTTTTAAGACCTAGCATCCTTGCTTAGAGTGTTAGAGAATTAATGATCAGCATCCCTAAGAACAAAAAGAACTCTTCTAGCACAGATTTGGACTGTTATAAGAAGGAGAAAAAAAATATTTAAAATGAACAAAAGTTGTTTCAGATATTCAACATGAGAGAGCATATTATAACTTAGGTTATGTATTATCTATACAAATGTTTGGGTTGTGCCTTAATCAAGTGGTAAATTCCAGCTTGTTTTTCTAACAGAAAGAAGCTTTTGATGTTAACTGTAATATTTTGGAGTAATCCTTAGCAGTACCTAAGTGCCCCACTTACAGAGCAGCTGTTGCAGTAACAAAGCAAAAGCATGTAGGCATTTTCTAGTAATGAGATATTTGTGGAGATAGGAACAACTGCATGTTACCAATATTACTATGGAAATGCAAGGGAACACTATTAAATGTCAACTAAACTTCATCAAATAGAAAAATATAATAAATCAAAAGCATATGCAACAGACTCAAAGCTAGGGATTCCCATTTGCCCATGAGAATCAAATCCAAAAAGTGTTCACTCACTCCATTTGATGTCTTTTAATCTGTTCTTCATCTGCACACAAGCCAAGGACAACATCTGGAACCTCAAAATGCATTTTTTTCAAGTATTTTGTTTCATAAAGTACTTCCAGGACCACCGGGTCCAAGTTTACAAGTAATTCCTTCATGTAGCAGTACAGGGGGAAAAAAAAGAAACAGAAAATAAGGCAGTAGTTTGGTGGTTACATGTAGTGTGATATAACTGGAACAGGTAACAAGATGCAGATGACCAGAGAAGATTTTTTAAAAGGATACCCGTGTTTCTACACAGATTTTCATCCTCCTCTACAAATATCTCAATTTTCTAAAGTATTAATCAAGCAATATCTTACACTGATTTCAATTTCGTGTGACTCCTTCACTGTGCCCTAACCACTTGGCTCCTGTGACTTCCTAAGTTTAATTCTAGTTCTGGGGCTGCACTCTGTGGAAACTAATTTGCCTTTTCATCTCAGTTTCTCCATTGGTAGACTAAGGAGAAATGTTGTGAAGGTTAATCTCTGTACACTTTTTGGGGCACTAAATGCTACTAAGATGCTAAATAAATTTGAAAACTAGGTTCTAATTGGCCATTGTGGAATAATTAGTTCAAAAAAGCACCACATTTTAACCATAATTTCTCTGCACTACAGCAGAAATTATAATCTGTGAATAAGAATGGTAAGATATTCTGTGTCAACAAGCAGTTTTGAAAGCAAAGTAATGAATGATTTGGAATATACTCAACACAGTGCTGTTGATCATTACAGAAAAGACCATGATCTAATTAAAAATTCCATCTTTGACTAAAATTTTGGCTAACATAGAAAATAAAACATGAAACAATATCTAAAAAGATGTAGATAAGTCAATAATAGATATGTATTTGCTGGCTACTGCCTCTTTTATTCCCCGAATGAGGCAGGAGCCTTATGAAGAAGAGACTTGATGAAGTCTGTACCATAAATATACACAAAAAGGAAAAAAAATATACCAGTTCAAGTAGTTCATGTTTTTAAGCCTATTAAGATTACTTTAATGCTGTGCTTGTCTATCCATGATATGATTAAAGTAGCATATGTAATATTAAACAATGCAACAGTAATACAAAGAATAAATCATATTTACCTTGGTTTCTGGGTGCCTGACAAGTAAGGAAGCACACAGAGCATTTCTAGCCTGGTCAGCAAACCTGCACCAGGCTCTATGATAAATAAGTTCAAATTCCAGAAGAACTGCAGCCATTTTATTATAGCTCTTAACAACCTTTTTCATTTCTAGTGTCTGCAATCAAAGCGGGGAAAAAAAAGCAAACACCATTTAAACAGTTTGATGAGTCTAACATAGTAGAAATGCCCTCCACTAGGCTTTTCCTCACCACCATTAGGAAAACAAAACAAATAGAAAGCTTTCAGTTATGCTATTTTAGAGATAAGGTAAGACACAGAAACATAGAAATATATTTAGGAATTCAATTATTAGAAAGTATTTAACTGCTCTAAACAACATAACTCTTCCTGATTTTTCCTCCCAGTCTTGCCCATAAAACCAAGTCTATACTAGGACCTATACAAGGCACCGATGTCCCACTGAGAAAGCTACAAAATTATATCCTTTCATGAAGTATGGCTAGTGTCTGAGGTTAAATATCTTAGTCCTCTTCATTACAGAGCATAGCAGACAGAAGGCTCTGTGCTTAGGTACACAGCCAACAGTGTTACTACCAGGATTAACATGACTCAAGCTCCAGAAGGGAGAAAAGCACCGGCCTAAGTCATCAGCTTCATGTCTCAAAGGAAGTAACTGTCCTGAGCTGCAGAATAATAACACTGAAAAAAGGAATTCAAATCCTGGAGTCAACACTACCCCTATCCTGTTGGATGAGGCTGAATACAAGTTGCTAGAAAAGTGAGCTTAGGAGTATAAAAATAAATCATGTGTATGTTAATAACATGCTTGAAAGCTTAGCATAAATCCTCCTCTGCTAATTTCCAACCTTCAAAAGAGTGGTTTTCTTTTTCAGGAATGTCATTGGATGTTCAATTTTTCTGTATAACTGCTGAGCCCACATAATCTTCCCTGTTACCTAAAACACAGAAGATATGAGGTTATATTTCTGTTAACTTAAAAACAGTCAAGAAGCAAAGTTCTTTTTCTCTCTCATTTATTTCGTTCTTACTGGTGGTATGTTACGTGGTATAGGTGGATTTTCTTTTTGCTTCTGGTAGAGTTTTTGAACAAACTCTAAGTCTTGGCTGTACTGCTGAAGGACCATGGTATACTTCTCATTAAGATCAATATGATTTTCTCCTACTTGTTCAAGCTTCATCAGAAGTCCCAGCATCTGTTCAGTCTAAAAAGGAGGATGGAGCATTTACTCCAGAAGAGGTTAATAGTTCAGAAAGTCATTGTTCATAAGCTGTTTTTTCTGATTTATAATATAAGCTATGTAAGTTTGAAAATTGTTTTCTAAGAAACACAGAAAAGTCCATCCAGACAAGTTAGTGAATTTTACTTCTGTATTTTTTCCCATTTAGAATATATTTACCATGGTATGAACCAAGAAACTGCTACCACTACATTATAGTGGAATATTTAATTTTTTTCTGACTCTCAAATCATCACTCTTTTTTTCTGCAGCTGTGGTAGAACAATTACACCTTTACTCATGCTTCATTAACATCTCATATCATGATCAGGGCCTGAACCAATGAACATCACTGACATTAAGGTAACAGATGGCAGAAATTATTTCATCATTCCTGCCAGTCCAACAGGAATAACTTAGAAATGCAATGGGAAGCATGGGGAACACCCTAGGATGAGGAAAGAAAATGAACTTCCAAAAAAACAGGGCTATAAAATTGGTAAGGGAAGATAGAACATAAAACTGGCACCAAGTAACAATAAACATTGTCTTCCAGCACTTCTGCAAGCGACTTTTAGCACACTTGTAATAGGCTTGATGTCCTCCTACATTATCTCAGGCAGCCACTAGCACAATACAGAACACTGTCAGTAATGAAGGAGTTCAGTAGGAGCTGTGGATACTCAGCCTTTCTGAGCACCAGAACAAGGGGGTTGCATTTGTAAAATTACTTACAGTTACAGTCTTCTCAAACCAGGAATCCACAAATTCTTGTATGGACTCATACAATGCTGCAATTTGGTTCTTAAATTCAAGATAATCTTTCTCAAACTAGAAAAGGGTAAAATAAAAAAAAAAAATCATCTAAAGTGGTGCTTCCATTTCATACCAAATTCTTTCCCTGAAGTTTTTCAGGAATTTGCTTTATCTGCACAGTACATGTGTTCAGCACCAAATTAAAGAGAACAGGGACACCATCAGTAACAAAGGCATTTACATTCTAAGCAAAGCGAACAAAAAATAAGAAGTGTTAAGTTATATGATTAAAGCCTCATCTTCATGAACACAAAGCAGCACAGAGGAACAAGGACAGGCAGAGGAAATCTAACAACCTAATCAGAGAGAACAGAGCACACTGACCAGCTTCTCCCAGCACTGCCACAGAAGAGCCCTCAGCTCACTGTTCGGGTATGAAACCCATCAAGATGAGCAAACTGGCAGGTTCTCTAGAGCACCTTATTACTGACTAAGGGAGGTTATTGCCTAGGAGATAAGGGACTCATATTACAGTTTACCAGGGAAAAGCATTTTGGGACTACACAAAATGTATTATGGGAGTTAGGGAAGAAGCAAAGGCAGAGATCAATGTGGTTTGTGGGAGGACCAAGTGTGGAAAACAGAGTCATGATGGGATAAAAGGAGTCAGTCACATGTGAACAGGTTGATGGTCAGTACACTTGTCTGGCTGTGCCCTGCACCTGATGAGAATAGCTTGTCTTGTCTTCTTACTTATTTCCATTTCTAACCATTTTCATGCATGAGAGAGTTCTCTCTTCTGTGTACGAGTGTGCATGGGAGTCTATGTACCAGCAACAGGAGTGGAAGGGGCTTAGAGGCAGCTTATAAGAAAGATGAAGAGAGACTTTTACCAAGGCCTGTGGTGATAAGACAAGAGGTAATGGTTTTAAATCTACCCCAAAGAGGGTTGTACTTCTGGATATAAGGAAGACGTTTGTTACACTGAGGGTAGTGACACTGGGAAAGGTTGCCCAAAGAAGTTGTGGATGCCCCATCCCTGGAAGTGTTCAAGGTCAGGTTGTATGCAACTCTGTCCAATCTAATCTAGTTGAAGATGCCCCTGCCCATGGCAGGGGGGTTGGATTAGATAATATTTAAAGGCCCCTTCCAACCCAAACCATTTTATGATTCTATGGAGACCATGGGTCACTGGGGCCTGTGCCCCTGTAGAGTCAGCAACTGGAGAGGCTGGAGCGTATTGAGGTCTAAGCATCAGCAACCAGGGTAGGAGCTATGGATCATAGCAACCAGAAACACTGGAGCATTTACATACTGTGTGGGTGGGTATGTACCAAACCAGACCAGGCAGCAAATAGGACAGAGATTTGGGAACCAAGTGTTGGAGCGGCCATAATTCTGGGCTGGATATTAAAGAGACCAGAGTGGTCTAAGAGTTGGCTACCAGGGAGACCAGGAGGCTCAAGCGAGCTACAAGAGAGACAGCAGGGTCTGAAGATCAGCCACTGATAAGGTTATAAGCCTGGACCAGCTACAAGAAAGAACTTTGCATATGTGAGTCTCTGAGTGTCAGCAACTGGGACAACAAGGGGATTCAGGGGTCAGGTAGAGAGTAGACTGATTGCCTAAGACCAGTTAGTTACTGGGGGGACCCATAGCACATGTGTCTGTGCATGTGTGTGTGTATAGGTCTGAGTACCAGCAACTGGAGTGGGGCTGTGGGCCTTGAGAGCATTTGTAAATCCAGAAACTGTGGAGACCTGGGTATCCAGGGGCCAGTTGGTGGATAGACTGTGTAAGAGAAGTTACTGGAGGGATCCATGGCTTCACCAAAGGCAAGTCGTGTCTGACCAACCTCATGTTCTTCTATGATGAAGTGACCATATCAGTGGACAAGGGAAGAGCTACGGATGTCATCTATCTGGACTTCCGTAAGGCCTTTGTCCCCCACAACATCCTTCTCTCTAAATTGGAAAGATATGGATTTGAGGGGTGGACTGTTTGGTGGATGAGGAATTGGTTGGATGGTCACATCCAGAGGGTAGTGCTCAATGGCTCAATGTCCAGATAGAGATCGGTGACAAGTGGTATCCTTCAGGGGTCTGTACTGGGACCAGTACTCTTTAATATCTTCACCAATGACATAGACAGTGGGATCAACTGCACTCTCAGCAAGGTTGCAGGTGACACCAAACTGAGTGGTGTGGTTGATATGCCTGAGGGACAGGATGCCATCCAGAGGGACCTGGACAAGCTCAAGGAATGGGTCCGTGTGAACCTCATGAGGTTCAACAAGGCCAAATGCAGGGTCCTGCACCTGGGTTGGGGAAACCCCTGATATCAGTACAGGCTGGGGGATGAAAGGATTGAGACCAGCCCTGCCAAGAAGAACTTGGGGGTACTGGTGGATGAAAAGCTGGACATGAGCCGGCAATGTGCGCTTGCAGCGCTGAAGGCCAACAGTAGCACAGGCTGCAACCAAAGAAGTGTGGCCAGCAGACAAAGGGAGGGGATTCTGCCCCTCTACTCTGCTCTGGTGAGACCCCACCTGGAGTGCTGCATCCACCTCTGGAGCCCACAGGAGCACAGGAAAGACATGGACCTGTTGGGGCCGGTACAGAGGAGGGCCACAAAAATGATCTGAGGGATGGAACATGTCTCCTATGAGGACAGGCTGAGAGAGTTGGGGTTGTTCAGACTGGAGAAGAGAAGGCTCCAGGGAGACCTGATTGCAGCCTTCCAGTACTTAAAGGGGGCTTCTAAGAAAGATGCGGAGAGACCGTTTAGCAGGGCCTGTAGCAACAGGATAGGGGGTAATGGTTTTAACTTGAAAGAGCATAGATTTAGACTTGATATAAGGAAGACATTTTGCACAATGATGGTGGTGAAACAGTGGCACACGTTGCCCAGAGAGGTGGCAGATGCCCCATGCCTGGAAACATTCCAGGTCAGGTTGGACGGGGCTCTGAGCAACCTGATCTGGTTGAAGATGTCGCTGCTCATTGCAGGGGGGTTGGACTAGATGACCTTTCAAAGTCCTTTTCAACCCAAACTATTCTATGATTCTAGAATAACAGGCTTTCCTCCCGCTCAGCCAGAGTGTTACGGGATGAAGCCATTAATACTGTTTATAATTGTGTGATTGCTGTTTTTTCAGTTTGTGTTGAGCTGTGCGGCCAGACCCGTGTATAAATGCACTGTGTGTATGTGTGCATGCATGCCTATTGGGAATTACACACTCACCCTCACAGCTCAGTGGACCTGGGGATATGGAACTGTGACAGCCTCACCCCTATTGGGCTACCAAACTTGGCAGCTCCTAATTAGGAAGAGGGTATTTATCTGTAATAATTTGGGTATTTATCGGTAATAATTTTTCTTAAAAGTCCAAAAAGCTGAGGACCTACAAAAAGACTTCAGTGCAAACTTCCTGTTAAAGAAAGTACTCCATGAGCTTGGGAAAATAGTGCAGAACGTATATTGCTCTAAGCATTTAGGTGTAGAAAAGCCATGCAATTTTTAAACACCTTCAAATTCCAGTTACCAGTACCTTGTTCTCTTTCGGAAAAGAACCACACAGGAAGTATTACAGAAATGTAAGCCATCAGCTAGTTAGAAGAAAGCCAAAGGTACTCTAGACTTAAATGTTTAAAGGAAAGTTACTAACAGTTGCAAGCTACAGTTCAAGAAGGCAGGAGAGTAAGTCAACATTTCTAGCACTTCCATTGTGAGTCTATCAATCCTGCAAAGCAAGCAGGCCACAGCTCAAAAAAAGCAGCTCAATTCCAGCATGTGCAGGATTTATTAAAACATGAGTCTGAAGCATTTGAAAACTTCACCCTACTCAGCACTGGGAGTGGTATCACTCACTTCTCCCTCTAAAATGTTCATCTAAGTGCCTTTGCTACCTTTACTATAATACTGCCTTTACTATTCCACTAAGTTTTTTCAGTAACACTGTGTAACTCTTGCAACTAGATAAACTGTAGTTAATGCATTGACATGCCTGAATTAGTTTTCAGTCTGCAGTTCAAAATATATGCTTCTCAAAACCAACAAGTTTAGGAAAAGTTGTTTCTAGCATTAAAACACAAAACTTAGCTTCTCAAAAATTAACAAAAACATTTGAAATAAAAGCCAAATTTACCCAAACACTTTCAAATTGTATTAAAAGGTGTGAAAGTATTATTACTACAGCAAAATACTATATGCAGAGTTATAATATTTAATCTTCTCTGCATAACTCCAATGAAAAGCATAGAATTAAGAGAGTGATTGTCAGAAAAGTGCTGAATGTATATACCTCTTTTTTTCTGTGATCCAGAACATCATACTGTTTGGACTTGGTGTTTGTAGCAATGCTCTGGTAATGAGTACTGATCTCTTCAATGCCTTCTATTTTTATACGCTGGAGCTCTAAAAGGCTTTCCATAACATTGCTCATGTCTGAAATCTTCTCCAAACGTTTACAGAATGTATCAAATTTTCCAAATATATAGTTTTCACTAGCAGTAAAAAAAGCGAGATTGTTATGAAAATCTATTTGTAACAGCTTTAACCACATATATTTAACACATTTATATTATTACAGAACTGCTACCAAGTTTTGCATAAAAAAATCTATGCTGTAATAATTACAAATCAAGTAAAAACCATTTCAAAGTAACGGATATAAACCAGAAAATGCTTAATCCTTATATATTAAGAATTATATTAAAAGCCTTTACCACATTTTACATGAGTTACTCTTTTAAATAAGACATTTGCAGGAGATCAAAATGGGAATGTACAATACTAAGAAATGCTCCATATTTTACGTGCCAATACAGGTAAAACTCCCCTTGGCACTGTGATAGACAACCCATCCCAAAGCTGATTAAATTCCTTTGAAGTCTTTTTCGTGACTCTTATAGTCATGACTCAAATTTATTGGGATTACAGACCATACACAAACATATATATTAAATTAAAACATGCATAAATTCCCCTGAAGTCCCCTTGGACATCTGCTATATCAACAAGTGACTCGAAAAAACTTGTCACTGGTTTATTACTGAATAAAAACCCCAACATCTGCAAGGTCATACTCTGATTATAATAAATACTACATTTTAATTGAGTATTTAGCTTTTCTGCTAGCCAGCAGATATAATAACATCTCATTTATAAATTGTATAAATGAATATGTTTCAATATTAGAGGGAATTATTTACCTGAAATCAAATTGTCTGTCACTTGGATTCTCCTTCAGCACCTCCCTAATTTGCTGAAAGGATGTTTGGTACAGTTCTTTGAGGGAAATGCATTGTTGTATCCTCTTTAGCAATTCTTGCCTGAGGAAAAAAGCACAGAAGACAGAAAATAATCCTAAGAAGGTCTTCAAAAGAGTATGAATAAAAATAGAACACTTCAGACAGATATGGAGCTTTGCAAAATAAGAACACAAAATTATACACTACCTGAAACACATTAAAAATATGTGGATTACATTAAAAGGTTTTGTTTCAAATTTGTTATCTAGATTGCGTATTTTTAAGTTCAGGTTTTATTGTCATCAACCCAAAACTCCCACAGCATAGCCCAGAAAGGACTTACATGAGGTAAACCCTGGCTAGTGAGTGCCTGCAGTTTGGCCATTTCTCACCTTCTGTAACCTGGGTATTGCTGATGGGGTTTTCTTAATTTGTTTCTTTTTTTTTTCTAAGCAGACAAGACTGGAGAGGTATTTTTCCGGACTACAGTAAGCATGAGAAAAGTCTTGTTCTTTACAAAGACACACTCAGAAAATCTTGGTTCCTAAGGCCACAGATAGCTACAGCTTATAACATATAAGCTTATATATACCACTTATACACAGCTGTTCATTAACCCTGAGGTGCTACTATACATGAGATACACAGATGAGGCATGGAAATTACACATAAGCCATTTACCCAAAACTTTTGCTCCACTTTGGCTTTGTCTTTCATCTTCAAAACATCATTGGGAATTAAAATGATAGTGAAAGATTATAGCTCGAAACCACTAACTGGGACAGAAAGAAACTTTTGCAGGGACAGCAGCAGCAAATAAGTAAATGGGAAGAATGTTTCAAAACTAAATTCAGATAGAATAAACAAAAAAATGTACTCTATTTTTATTCACATTAATTCTTTAAAATAAACATAGCCAGTATGTAATTGATTACAGGTAATTTCTGAAAACTTCCCTTTATCTACACAAAAGTACAAGAGAAATCCAAATTATTTGTTAGATTTATGTCTCCTAGCCTGTTACCTCAGTGTTACTTTTGACTCGGGTAGAATTTAAGCACAAACATTCTGACTGTCTATGTCTTCATGAAGCTTGTAACACCTTTTCCTTGTCACCTCAGTGATCAAAATCTTGCTACATTTATACTCTTTCAAGACACTGTTCCAATCATTACTTTTCCAGTTGATAACTTTAGATGTCATGCTCATCTTAATCCCGCTCTGTGGTTTCTCCTTTCTCTTTTGCGTGAAAATAATTGTGTTCTTATAGCACATGTTCTTCCTAGGCTGTCTCCACTTAACTTCTCATCTTTCAGATACACTTGTTCTGCCAGTGATGTCAGCATTCACCACCCTCTTAAGTTTCACACAAACACTTCTGTGTTTCCACTTATGCTGTATGTGGCACTTGGGAGCAGCTCCTTACAAGTAGCCATAGGGCAGCTAATATGTCTCATCATCAAAATGTCTCCTTTAGTTCTGTGGCAGTGATGCCTACAAAACATCCACAGGCATCACAAGGTTTGCTGAAAACGCTGTCATTCCAGTTGTCCAACACTGCAGGATTGCTGGGTTTTCTCCATTCCTCTTTCCTCCCCCATCTCACCATTCAATTCTTATGTTTCAGACTGCAAGCTCTTCTTACGTTTTACACAGCAGGCTCCTTAGAGCTGAGGCAAACTTTTTGTTCATTTTTTGTATAGTACCTAATATTTACTGAAAACCAGGGACTCTCGCTATACTAAAAGCTGTAACAAGACCAATAGAAAGGAAGAACAACTAGTCTTAGGCATGTCTAACTAGCAAACTTACAGTAAATCTAAGCTTTTTAAATTTAAGGTGCCTCATTGGCACCATTAACACTCCTCATGTATTTGCTCATACAGCATTCTCCACAGAATACTCAGAAAATACAAGTCTGAGTTCCATCCTATCAGAGATGTACTCCAAACAGAGTACAATCAAGTTGTGATTCTGGTTCCGGTATATATTGTCCCCTTCCTCCAAGTGACCTTCTTGTCCACTAACAGCAATATAGAAATCTTAGATGGAACTTTGCCAGTCTCTCCTTGGAGTTCCTTTATGAAGAACCTTAGATCCCAGTTCTAATCGCTCAAGTGTGTTTTGGTCTAAAAAAAGCCATGGGGACAAAATGCCGAGTGTTGTAGACTGATATACATTACATGCCTTTCAATAACATTTTTTTCCACAACACATAGTAAATTTGGTTTTGCAGAGTACTTAATTCTACACAAAATGAGTACTCACAAGCTTAAAATTAACATGGAAACCAGCGCCTGGTAGGAGGACGAGGGGCTACTTAAATTTACCTTTTAGGAATCTTGATGACTAATCTATAATTTTACTTCTAGTGTTTATAAAACAAGATTAAATTATAAAAATTCTATTACCTGTCTAGATCCCAGATTTTTGAAACACCCTCACATAGATACATCTTGCATGTGTTAATCATTTGATTAGTGATTTTTAGAAGAAGAGATGTCATGCGCTCCGATGTGTTGTAGTATAGTGATGTACAGTAGATCATGCAGACAGTATTCATTAAACTGGGTACGTGTTCCATCATTGTTACCTACAAAAGAAAAAATGGGAAAGTCATCAATTCGAATTTCCTAAAACTTAACACAACGGAAAATGTGACAGCTCTGGGAATACATTTATCAGTGGATAAACACCTTTTTGATTGTAGCACATTGTTCTTGTAGACATCTCATTATGAACTGGACCATCCAATTCATTTGCGGGGACCTAACACACTATGACCAAAAGAAAAAAAAATGGGGAATGGGTAATGAATAAATGAACAGGTCTTCTTCCAAAGTGGGATCTTCCAGAGGAAAAACAGAGACTGTACTACAGTATACACAGGTGCTGTAGTCTGCTTTGCAAAGGAATATGCTACCTGAGGAAAAGAAATCACACATGGCTACAAAAGCATTGACCTGCTGTAGGAAGGACAAGAAAAAGAAAGTTGGCCTTTGCTCATTTTGCCTAGATGTGTACGGAAGAGAAACCCAGAAGGGGGAGTCAAGGCAATAACAATCTCTCTCTTACTGAGGATGCTGAACTATAGAGTTTTCTGTCCCACAGAAAGATTTCACAAAAATACATGAAAGACAGATATACTGAGAACCAGTAATAACAAGAGTCAGTTACTGGTCTAGTAAAGGATATAAAAAGTATGGTGTCTAAAAGTCAAGCACACTATGGCAGAACGCTGAATATTTGCAGAAGAAAAGCATTGTAAAATAGCACAATGGATTCAAACAGAGTTTCACCTTTGAAAACAATATTTACAAAATTTGTAAGCAGTTGAATTATGGGTAAGTCTTCTGAACCATGTATGCTTAGACAGTTTTGCCTGGTGGCTGTATATTCAAGATTCATTCACTTAAAAAAAAATAAATCCGAGACCCACACCATTATGAAAATAAATATTATAATTTGAACCAGAATGAAAGTAAATACATGTCACTTGCAAAAGAAACAGCTTTAACCTGTAAAATAAGTGGAAGCTGCCCAATTTCAGCTCAGCTGAAGGTTTAAGATTATTTTATGATATTTGCACCAAAACAATCATGAGTAACTGCTGACTGAAGCGTGGAGACAGGAAGAGGTACCATATGTAAGGCCCAACCTCACAAAGACAATTCAGCTTGATTTTGGAAAAATATACTTTTTTGCTTATTTTTCTCATGTCCTTCAATTATCTCCTGGAATGACAACTGCCCCCTACACAAAAAGTAGTATTATCTCTGGCTTATTCAAAATCTGTAAGCTCAGTTCACTAACGTCGAAGGAGTCAAGCTGTCCACTAATCATTAAGCATAGGAGTTAAATACTGAAAGGAGAAATATCTTTCTTTCAGCAGCAAAAGCCTTTCCTTTCTTTTCTGAATTTCACATTAAGTGCCTTTAGAGTACTACTTACAGGTGAAGCTTTGGCAAGTGGACCAAAAAATTTATCCAATGCATATAAATATCTCACATTGTCTTTAGCTTCATTGGCAGCAATTGTTATACTACCATCCTGAAAGGGAGGAAAAAAAAAGAAATAGAATTAATAGTGCTAAAACTTACTGAACAGGTTCTTGCTCTTTTAAAGTGCATGCTACCACCAGACTATGATTCCATCTTGCAGGTATTTTCTCACAGAAGTTCTCTCAAATAAGTCATTTCTTCTTTACGTAAGAAATAACTGCTTTTACATGCAAAAATTGGTAAGATCTACCTGGCAATCAGCAACATTTTGGATGCGATTTAGACGAACTCCTTACTAACTTAGACTCACAAAGTTTCTCCTTACTGATAGAAGTACAACAGCATGGCTTTTATAATCCGACTTACATTTTTTAGCGTGGATTTTAGCATACTACCTATTCTACAGAACTTAGACAAGATCCCTGAAACGGACCAGGATGCTTCCCATCATTTTTTTAATAAACACTTATTAGGGCAAATAAGTTCACAACTAATGCCTGTGTATCCTTCTGTTCACAACAGATGGAACTATCCAGTAATTAGGAGGCAATTCTGTAGGAAGAAAGAAATTTAGTTCAATGTCCTTGGCTTGTACTGGCTCTGCACAGACACTGTCATCCAAATTCCATTTATCATAGAAGTCTGCAAATATGTTAAGCACAAAATAAAAAACTCAGTAAGGTGATACTGTTTTCCTGGTCTAGTTTCAAGAGTAGAACACCTTAAGTGCTAGAAGATCTACCTTCTGGTGTTTTTGGGGGTTCTGATTGGCTGTATGTGGTCTACAGCTTATTTTCTGGCTTGCCTACAATTTTGATTGACAAGTTTACATTACAGATATATACTTATCTGAAGTAGCAAATATGCTACACAAAGCCAGCTGTTAATAATTCTAAGAGCGGTATGATGAACTTTCAGACATCTCTACAGATGGCCTGCACAGGGTACAGTAGGCCGGCATGGGGTACAGCTGGAAAGACACAGAAAAAGCTCGTACTGCTGCATTGCTTTACTTTTGTGCAATCATTCCACCCACTATGTTAATGAAAGACACATTACAGAAGCATCGACTCTTTTCAAATCATCTGTTTCACTTAAAAATCATTGGTGTTATGTGTTTCAACAAACAGATAATAAACCACAGCACAAAAACAGCATAAACACTCAAAGCTATTTGTAGCATTGTGTGTTCAGTTCTGTGTGTATTACAAATACAGTACTGTACTCATTTAAAATTTGTATTAAAATATACTAATTACCAGCTCTTTCCACTGCTTTAATGTCTTTGATCTTGCTGCCTGAAGAATACTTATAATTTTCTTTACTCTTGAACTCTTGATCTCATCTAAAAGGCTTTGAAGAAAGAAGCACATGTAATACTCTCTTTGGAATGAAAGTTTACATTTATTTTTAAAAAGCTTTTTTTTCGACTCCATGAGAAATAATGCAGGGATTTAACCTGTTAAATGATGACATTCTTGTCTTCCAGTGTTCCAGCTCTGCAGATGGACCAATGTCATCAGCTTCTCTTCTCATTTGCTCACTCTCCACTAAAACTTGTCTGATCTGTTTGATCCAAATCATGACCACTTCTTCAAGTCTCCCAGTGACTTCTGTGTTACTGCCTTCAGAATGATAGAATGGGACAGTCTCATAAGTACCAAGATATAAATACAGATTTTTATCTACAGAAGTGAAATGTCCTTGACAAACATAAATTGAGACTCTGTGTAAACTGAGTATGTTCACATCACTGACCAACAACAGGAAAAGATTAAAACAGTAACAAAAAGATGCACACACATACAACTCGTATCTACCTACTTTGTTAATATTGCATATCGTTTACAATGGAAACAGTTAAAAATACAGTGAGTTCATAAGGGAAAAAAAAATACAGCAATGCAGTTTTGGAAGAATCATGTTTTCAGAGCTCCAAGAAATGCATTAACTATTATGCGTTTATTTTTCTGCTTGTATTCCATAAGTAAAGGCTTACTTCTCCACATTTCTCTCTTTCTGCCATTGCAGCCTATTCCACATAAAAAGCATCATGTAACGGACACCATTACTAACAGCCACAAACCCTCCCATCATTTATAAATCAGCACATCTTTCAGATTGCCCTAGCAGCTGAAAGAGTCCAGTTCACTTGGTGCATTATATTTAGGACTTGTAGAGCTTGTACTACTAAATGTATCTAAAGAACTTTAATATCTTCATCAATTACATAGACAGAGTGCACGCTCAGTAAATTTGCAGGTGACACCAAGCTGAGTGGTGTGGTTGATACGCCTGAGGGACAGGATGCCATCCAGAGGGACCTGGACAAGCTCAAGGAATGGGTCCGTGTGAACCTCATGAGGTTCAACAAGGCCAAATGCAGGGTCCTGCACCTGGGTTGGGGAAACCCCTGATATCAGTACAGGCTGGGGGATGAAAGGATTGAGAGCAGCCCTGCCAAGAAGAACTTGGGGGTACTGGTGGATGAAAAGCTGGACATGAGCCGGCAATGTGCGCTCGCAGCGCAGAAGGCCAACAGTAGCACGGGCTGCAACCAAAGAAGTGTGGCCAGCAGACAAAGGGAGGGGATTCTGCCCCTCTACTCTGCTCTGGTGAGACCCCACCTGGAGTGCTGCATCCACCTCTGGAGCCCTCAGCACAGGAAAGACATGGACCTGTTGGAGCCGGTACAGAGGAGGGCCACAAAAATGATCTGAGGGATGGAACACGTCTCCTATGAGGACAGGCTGAGAGAGTTGGGGTTGTTCAGACTGGAGAAGAGAAGGCTCCGGGGAGACCTGATTGCAGCCTTCCAGTACTTAAAGGGGGCTTCTAAGAAAGATGGGGAGAGACCGTTTAGCAGGGCCTGTAGCAACACAGAATCACAGAATCACAAGGTTGGAAAGGACCTTCAAGATCATCAAGTCCAACCATTAATCCAGCGCCACCATGTCCCCTAAACCATGTCTTGAAGTGCCACATCCACATGTTTTTTGAACACTTCCAGAGATGGCGACTCCACCACCTCCCTAGGCAGCCTGTTCCAATGCCTGACCACTCTCTTGGTGAAGAAATTTTTCCTAATATCTAGTCTAAACCTCCCCTGGCGCAACTTGAGGCCATTTCCTCTTGTCCTATCACTAGTTACTTGGGAGAAGAGGCCAACATCCTCGTCGCCACAACCCCCTTTCAGGTAGTTGTAGAGAGCGACAGGGGGTAATGGTTTTAACCTGAAAGAGCATAGATTTAGACTTGATATAAGGAAGACATTTTGCACAATGATGGTGCTGAAACAGTGGCACACGTTGCCCAGAGAGGTGGCAGATGCCCCATGCCTGGAAACATTCCAGGTCAGGTTGGACGGGGCTCTGAGCAACCTGATC